TCAACTTGACAGATTTTGAGTGTATTTTATATGTGTTTTGGGTGTAATATTCCTATTTACCCGTTTTAACAGAGCGAGATTGCGACAATTTGTGTTACTCCTTACGGAATTAACAGAAATTATTATTCAGGTAAGTTGCTAAACGAAATATATCGATTTGTTGTCATAACCTCTAAAGCAGGCTACTCCTTACTGGACCCTTTACAAGCACTTGTATTTGTTCAAAGTACCTGTAAGAAGCTCAAATATGACCTACACGCTACCTGGTACGTAAGTACGGTAAGTGTTTATCGTGAAAAAATACAATTAGTTTGTATTTCAGGTATTCTAGCACGGACATGTCAAATCGATTTTCTGAAGGAACTTTTCAACTTATTCCCAAGAGTTCATGGTACGGGAATTTGAAGTCTATGGGGCTCCCCTCTTTAAAAGCTTCGTACCTAGACCCACTGGAGTAGCGACTGGCTTAAAGTCTGCCATTCTGAATCACACCTGGTCGTTGATATAACCTCGCTGATGCGCAGCGATTTACTGTCCTTTTACCGAAATTAAGTGCTCAAGCGTGTGCTTCACCTCGACCTCTTTCGACAGAAGTTCACCAATTTCGGAGATCTCGATGGAAAACACATTATGATACAGTTACCAATTTACAGCGTTCCGAATTTTAAAGTCAAATAAAAATGTTATTATCCATTTTTGTAAATCAAAAAAATATATGTACAATTGTAAGCTGCCTAAGTATCTTTCTTCTATATTAAAACCGCCAAGGCGAAACACAGGAGAGAGGAAAATGCCATTTTTCAAGAGCAACAAGACGCCATTAAAACTTACATCGGCCCACCGATTGACTTTCGAACAACGTTGCCAAACTTCTCAGCATGGCTTGTAATTATAGACGGCTGTGACTGCATCTAGCACGAAAGTGACAAGTGCCTGTGACAGATGACGCAAGTTATAAATGACATTCACCTGCAATATTGCCAAGTCGTTATGTCATCTGAATGGTTCTAGGAGCTGATTGGTCGGGCTTATTACGTCACAGAGCCCGCCACAATCATATCGTGTTGAATAAACCTTTAAAACCGCACATGTTCATTATTTTTTTGCTAATCAGCCTCTATTTTTAAATAAACTTTTACTGTCCAAAAAAATGTTTTATGGTTTCAGTACACGCTTATTAAATTAGAACTGCGGAATTCAACTATACTGTAAACCCCCATTAAGAGAACAAAAATGTTTCCCATGGCAAACTCTGTTTTTACTACTCTTAATAATGTAAAAAGTTGTGTATCATGTTTATTTGTCAAAGTAAGTACAATGAACCTTATATCATTGTAAACTGAAAAAATGCACTTTTTAAAAATGTCACAGCCAACTATGATTACCTACCATTTAAAAAAATGTAAGTTTGCGTTATAACTCGAAAATTATAAAAGAAGAAGAAATATTAATAAATGTACCTTACTAAGCGGAAAAAATCTACAATTTTTGTTCTTTACATATTTCTGTATTTCTAATACTAACGATTCTACAACAGTTAAATGAAAAATCACTAAATCTGTTTTTTGCTCATATCTAGTAAACTGTGGATTTTTTAAAAAACAAAAGCATATCTTGGATAAACTCTTAAAACTACAACTCTTTCCTCATTTAACCGAATCTCTATGTCTTACGGTTTCCGAGATCCTAATGCTTAAAATAAAAAAAACTCACCCTGTACATTGTTTATATACAAAAATTCGTAAACAATTAAAGGAACAAAGCTAAATAATCAATTTAATCAAAACAACAACGTTACAAAATATTCATGACATATTGTAGTAATACCTGGATGTGAAAAGTGTAGGTAATTACTTGCAGCAAGCAAGCAAGCGTCAACATCAGCAGTTAAATATGTATATTACAAATATAAATAACAAGTTAAAAAATATTTTATATACCTATATATAACATATTTAAATATGTTACTTATAACATGACAGTATCACATAAGCGTTAATGATCTAAAACAAGCCATTTTTCTGAAAGCTGTTCAATTTGTCTTGTAACTAGAGGATCACGAACTCGCAATCGTACTTCCAGTTTCCCTCCTACCTTTTTCCTTCCATCCACCAGCTGCAATTTAATAAATACTACTAAAATGTGACACCAACTAGTGATTCTCCTATAGTAACAAATTTTAGCCAAACTATTTTCTATTTGGCATTTAATTTGTTCTAAGTATAGCCATACTACGTTCACAACTCCAGATGCAGTAGTATGGGGTCTTATGGACGAAATGCCTCTTTTACTAATTTGCATAATTCTTCAATAACGCTATCCGTGTTCCTCATCGCAATGATACCAAACTGACATATGCTGAGCCGTGTCTGAATGAAGCCATAATCTTATCTCCTTGTCACGTTCGTTAATAAGTTTGGCGAGCATATGGTGTATGTCCGTAAGCATCATACCGCATCTGGAGGCGGGAACCCCCTATAGTGAATACTTACATCAAAACTTTCGTGAAGTTCACACCGAGTTTCCAAAGGTTGAAGTTTAACAGTGACGGTTCCTAGGAGTGTGTCGCCACGAAAAAATCCACTGAAACAGCAAGCCCAATCGCTAGCAATACAGCTAGCATACCAAAAAAAATTGTTGCGTATGACTTATGGACCATTTATTAGGTATATTCCATATTCAACGTTAATCACATTTTGAATTTAAACAAAAAGAAAAATTGTTGAATATGTAACATAATTGATAGTGTCAGTATTGCATAATTAGATTTTGCTCGAAGCAAGCAAAATAGAATATATATGATCAAGTGACACAAAAAATAAAAATAACACATCAACTCAACGAAACATTACTGAATAAGTTAGAGACTTTACCTTGGAAGTTGCTTGTATGAAAATCCGCCTCCAATAATATTAAACAACATTTAGAGATATCAAATAGCCCATAAGACATTTGGAAAACTAAGTGAAATTAAAATTTGTTAGATGTAATCACCACCCCCAAAATTAGCAATATTGCAGACTAAAACAAATGCAAGCAACGTTGTGTAATTGATACTCCAAATGCAAAGTTAGTTAGGTCCCAATTATTAATTAATTTTTTACTCGTTTTAATTGTGACACTCCAAAAATGTATTATGGTGATTCACCGAATCACACAAAGAGCAAGCAAGGTAATAAATTAAAGATATAAAAGATACTGATCACAAATCAGCGCATGCAGTGTAAAAAAAAGAGCACCATGATCAGAATAAATGGATTCATTATGAATGAAAAGAAAATAAAGGGTACAGATTACAGGAAAAGACACAATTTGCCAATTGTGCGTTGGAAAATGTATTATTTATTAAAAATTCAGAAATGACAACCAACATTAGTGACCTATGAATGTAGTTTTTATGTGGTCAGTATAGTAGCAAGCAGCAAATGATATAGATTGTTAGAAATATTGAGATTTAAAAGAATTACAAAGATTAAAAGAATCAGAAAAAAAAAACTAAAATGGCATTGGGAAGGCTGAAGCATAGTGTAAAAAATAGACCACCAACAGCAACAATATATAAAAAGTGTCATAATAATAATAATAATAACGTAATTAATCCATATTTGGTCAAGCAAGTAATGTCTTACTAACTTGCTAAAAAATATCGACATATGATCTCAAACCTCTTCAACAAGATCAAGGTCCCCTCTTTTTGTAAAAGGATGTTCAGATCCAGATCAATTTTAATCATTGATGTCTATAAACATTATGTCAAATGATGATTTAGATGTATGCTGGCAAATAAATTAATACAAGCAATGCTAAAAAAGCGCAAGAAATGCCAAACATACATTTAGCGTTAATAAAATTGGGCCTACAAAAAACATGGTAGACAGTTACCTACGTATGGCGTAACCCTAAATACCTATGTAAAATTTGGGAAGTAGAAGTTTATCCAAAATGTTTCGTTTGGAAAGATGCCTTCTAAATTCCAAGATGTGTGTTACTTTACCTAGATATAGGGTTGTATCAGATAAAAATCTTTTGAATTATGTATTTGAGGAAAAAATTTTATTCCTGATCACAAAAACGTTAATCGTGTTGTAATAGGCAAATGGTTAAAAATTTTAGGCAGTACCAATGTTAGACAAAAATATGTACAGGGTGTCCTATTAATAAAGGTCACAGGACATATCTATGGAACCGTTAATTGCACAGCTTGGGTAAAAAAATAGTCTAGGAGGAAACGCTGGAAATAATTTTCAAGTTCCTAGGTTTGCCGCTAGAGGGCGTACGATTCATAATTCACATAAAGTAGAAAAACGATGTTTTTCCTAGAATATACCCAACAAACATGCATAAAAAAGACATACATCGCAATCTTGTATAAATTTTGCTTCATTTTGATGCAGGAGAAAATCTCTTTAAGGAGTTGAATGTAATTTTGGTTTAGGTGAACCGATTTTCACAAAATCTCATTCTTATTGGAAAGAGCTCTCTTCTTGTAATCAGATTTTACATAAATAGTCTTTTTAGTAAACGTGATGAGTGGTAGAGGGCGCGGTTTGACATTAATTAAAACTTTATAGGTTTTCTTAAAATAATCAAATGGAACGATATAATTTTTATATGATATTATCAAATAAGATGGAACTGAAAATATCAGTGAAAACCGCATTTTGATCTGGTTCCTAAACAGTGATTTAAATTGCAATATTTATCCATGTTGCCTTTGAAACAAAAGAACCATTGGCACGCAAAAACTACTAGGTTTAGTTTATCATTATATGGGCTACTGTTGCAAAGAAAAATGTAAATTGATCATTTTCAGATACATAGTTCCTAGGAAATACATTTTGGACCTTATTATATGGGATAAATATAATTATGGTGTCACCTAACTTTTGTTACGTATTTTACATTTTATATAGAGTTGCAAAAGTAAGTAATTAATACAAAAAAAACTTAATCATCTGCTGTCTTATTAAATACAATGATGTTGCAATTTTAAAATAAAAAAACAAACCCAAATGAACTACAATTGGGCACAAATGCATTTAATTTGCAGCACATAGCAAACAAAAAGCCGGAGCAGCATGCTTACTTACCCTTTAGAATACACTTCCAACTTCACACTCTGCCTCTTGAACACTCGAAGACATGGCCTGGCCGTCCTTTGTATTGGTAATGTGAACGTTTCATCATATTGAGGATTATTGGTATCTTTAACTACTGCAGTTTTGTTTCTAACAGGTTCTTCCTACAAAATCAATCATAAAAATTGAAAACATCAAATTTGAAAGAGAAAACCTGTGGAAACGGAAACTCAAACTTAACGTATGTGTCGATACTGTCCGGATTGCTGCAATTGTAATTAATACCCCTAAGAATAGTTAACTGTAGGTCGTTGTCGTTCAGTTCCGTAAAACTTTTAACAATTGAGAAATTTTTCGTCTCGTAATGAAACTTAGGCAGTTGACTAGTGTGTTTTCGTTTAGCTATTCGAATTATATCTAAATCTCGCGTGACGCTCAACGCCAAATGCTCAAAACGGTTCATGCCGGCAACGTCTCCGATCGCCTTGTTATGGTCTCTAGTGCTTAGTGCCATCTTCAATTGTTTCGTTAGCTGCTGCTCAAGTCGTGTGAGAATATCCAAATGTTCGGGATCGATCTCGCCTCCTTCTTCAACTTCTTCGGCCAAAACAACTCCATATCTACAAATAATATGAATTCTTAATCAATCATTTTCTGATGCTGAGATATAGGCGAGCAAATTATACAATCCGTCACAGACAGTTATAGGACTACACAAGTTTTTTTGAAAAAATTGCTAATTATACAGGGTGGTGACTTGCGTAACGCATCATAGGGATTTCAATGTAAAATTCATAACATGCGATTATTGGCTCCCCAAATTATTTTAGAGCAAAAATGTATTAGTTTTTTGTAGAAAAAAATTTTTTACGCCAATTATAAAGACGGAAAATTGGAAAAATAAAACCCGCATCTTTTTTAATAATCTGCGATGCCATGGAATTTTATAAATTTAGTCAATTTAAGAAAAAACTATAAATATCTGTCATCAATAAATTTGTATCTCAGTGTTGTTTTTCCTTTAAGAAATTGTGTAAATGCGTAATTCTGGTTTAAATTTTATCGCTTTTGTAATTTATTCAATTTAAATAAGGTGTTAGAAGTAAGACACATCTGGTCGTTTGTGATAAGGAGCTTATCAGGCGAAAATTAATTAACGCACGTGTTTTATCGCAGTTAAGAGATAACGAAAAGATAAGGTGTTAAGCCAGACACAGACTTGTCTTAAGACTTACGTGTGTGATTTTTCACAACAGAGGATGAGGCTTTGTTCACAGTTTTTGTGTAGATTTTGCGGGTAAATATTTCGGAAATTATTCCAAGAAAATTCTTCCGATTTTGAAAAAAAATTCAAATTTTTGAAATTATTGGAGGTGTAACTACCAAAAGAAGCATTTTAATTTTTTTGACATAACTGATTGTTTCACTCTATATAATATTATCATATTATGTACTAGTTACTCACTCTTCATCCAGTTGTGATTTAACAGAAGGAGGCACTGGCAATGTTGCGATATCAACAGGCAGCCCTCCCTGCGCTGCATCAATCAACGGATCAAATCCTTTTGCAGTTCTTAAATATTCCTTTGCCTGCTCCAACTCGCCCTTTTTCTTCGCGTTCAAAGCGGCGTCTTTAAACTCCTTCTGCCTCGCTTTCAACATCTCAACTTGTTTGTCAATTCGCGACAGCGCCGAGTTCTTTTTGACAATTTTCGGCTGCGACGGCGAAGGCTTTGGCGCCACGACTCTCTCTGGTACTTGCGGTTTTGGGGGTTCGACAGGTTTTGCCGCCGCCGGTACCGGAATTGGACCGTATCCTGGAGGTGTGGGTAATTCGTCAACCGGAACCGGTTTTCCGGCATTGTGAAGCTTAATGGCATCTTGAAATTGTTTGACAATTCGGCCCATCCTTCTCGCTTTACTCGCATTTCCCTGTTCCTTGGCGGATTCCTCTTGCTTTTGGTATACTTCTAATCGCTGTTGTAGGGCTTCCCCAACAGATGATGCTGTAATCAGAGCGGGTTTGGGTGAATCTTCTGTGGGTTCTTCCGCCGAATCACTTCGTTTCTGCACTTCACTTTCCTCACGAGCCACCTCTTCGGCCGGTGGTCCTGGCATTAGGCTCAAATCAACAGGCTGTCCACTTTCCACAGCTTTGATCACTAATTCAAACTGCTTTGCAGTCTTAATAAACTTCATCGCAAGTTCACCATTTCCCCCTCTTTTTGCTTGCAATGCAGCCATTTTATATTCATCTTTACGACTATTTAATAACTTTAATAATTCCTCATTTTCGGGACTTAGGCCCGATGGAGAAATTTCTGGCGAAGGCTGTTCTACAGGAGGGGGCGCCTCAAAATCAATAAGAGGACTTGTAGGAGCAGGCCTTGTAGGTTGAGCTTGTTCATTTTCAACAGGTTTAGGCTTAACGGTAACAGCAACCTCGGGTGGAATATCGTCACGATTTATGCCACGCCCACCACTTGCTTGTTTTATGAGATCCTTCAATGTTTTAATACCACGCCCCAACCTCCTCACTCGACTCGTTTCTCCTGACTGTGTGGCATTTGCTTCTGCAGTTTCGTACATTTTTAAACGACTTTGTAAAAGTGGCATGATATCAGTCTGAGGTTCTGGTGATTTAGGTGTTGGATCAGGCTCAGGTTCATCTCCTACACAGAACAGAATTACATATTAAAAATATATTTATACTGGATTCTTTGATTTCAAAGAAGTAGAGAAGCTGTAACTGAACCCTAGCTGAAGCCTATTCAGAGATTAAGATCTATTTCTTATTTTTTTTTATTTAAGAGGAGGGGGGTCAAGTTAGGTTAAATCGTTGGGATAGACCGTGCAAACTGGTACAGTATACTATGAAATTACGAAGAATAGATTAGAGAAACAATTGAAAATCACCATCAAATAGCTCGCTCTTAATAGTAGCACATGTTTAGAGAAAACTGCATGGAAATATCACATCTCGTTTACAAGTTACCTACATAAGTTATTTAAACAATGGTGCATGGTTGTTATTCAGGAAGGGTCGTTTTAGATGTGCAACCCTATAATACTTGCACCCACCTGTAATTTGGCTTAATTCGTTCAATAAATCTGGATCATCATCATCTCCCGATAATTCTTCATCTGAAGGAATATCACGCAGACTTGCGGCTATCATCACATCTAGATTAGCTACAGGAGCTGGCTTCTTACGCTGTGCCCGTTTCTGTTTACCGCCTGCCAAAGCGAGCAGCTCAGCTTCTAAATCGCTATCGTTACCATCATCGTCATTGTCACCATTGTCCATTGATGGGATACCAAATATTCCATACTAAAACTCAATTTTTACCATACAAGCTACAAAAATCACAATTTACCTGCGAAAGATCTCTGTTGGAGCGATCACGTTTAGTTTTTGCAGACATGACCAATATCTAATTTTCCGAAAAGGTTACCTTGAATCTAGACTGACAATATTATGGATAATTATCTTATCAGCAAAACTTTCTTAAAATAAACAATGACGAATAATTTTAAAAACAGCTGATTGTGGGGTGGGCGTTCCCAACGTTAATGACGTTACTATGACGTACAAACGTAACGATTTGTCACTAAAAACCCAACGATTTGTTTGGGCAATGCCGTTAGTATAATATTCTGGTATACTTAATAAATAAATAATTTGATGGCTATTTATCACAAATAATTTTTGTATATATGCTATTTATGTATACAAAAAATGAATTAAAAAAAGTGACACATTCCAGTGGCGTAGCATAGCCGTGTTGCATTTTACCTACTGTCCAGGTCCATTAGACCTACACTTCGAAAGAATATGTGATTTGACAATCCAAAAAAAATTACCTCATTGAAATAAAGGTTACCTATTGTATCTCACTTTGAGAAATGAAAATTGGGGAACAAGGTCGCGATTTAAATCCACCTGGCCCATTATCACTTAAATTTGACAACTTCCTACGTTTATCCGTGTGGTATTACTGTAACATCCCTAATTTAATTGAACATTAAAATAATCCAATTATTATTATTATTAAATTATATTTCATTAATCTAATTAGTTACAATGCGTCGTTGTAGTTCTAAGTTCACTCTACACTCAAATAGAGAACATTTAAAAATTTATAACATAACCAAAAAATTCTATCTATCATAACGGTTATGGAATTATAGCGGGAATTTTACCGCCTAATTTTCACCACATCCACTACATTCCATTGTTGATGCATTTCCCACGATAAAGTGTAGTCGTTTTTTACATATTGTGTTGTGATCCACTTTTCCAAAATGGAAAGCAAGAGGATAAAATTGACGCATTCCCCTTTTACTGTTTTGGTTGAGGGCAATATCGGAAGTGGGAAGACAACATTCCTTAATTATTTTAAACAGTATAACAACATATGTACTTTAGCAGAGCCGATTGAGTTGTGGAAAAATTGTGGTGGATATAACCTTTTGGTAAGTCGATTTGTTCACTTTGTTGACTGTCATCTGTTACTTTATTACGTAGTCCCACTTGTACGAAGACCGAGAACGTTGGGGATTTACATTTCAATCGTATGTACAACTCACCATGTTACAACAACATACGTTCAAGACTGATTGTGCTATAAAGCTAATGGAGCGATCAATCTACAGTGCAAGGTATGTAAGACTAAAGAAGGTAATTAATTGTATGACTAATTAGGTACTGCTTTGTGGAAAAAATGATTCGTGATAGCGTGTTACCAGCACCATCTGCCTCGGTTATTGACGAGTGGTTCAAATGGGCCACCTCAAGTGCGATGTGTGACGTTGATCTAATCAGTGGGTATAACTGGTTTTTGTGATTGAAACTTTAACAATTTCATTTTACAGTATATTTGAGAGCATCACCTGAAGTCGTTTATAAACGGATGCGCGAAAGAAATCGTCAAGAGGAAAAGACTGTTCAGTTGGAGTATTTACATGAAATGCATGAGATGCATGAAAATTGGTTGTACTATAAGACCATGTTTACCTGTCCAGCACCAGTTTTAGTGGTTAATGGAGACTTGGATAAGTCTGTAATTGTGGAAGAATACCAAAAAGTGACGCCAAGTATTTTTAATAAATGTTTAAGTGTGCCTTCTTAAAATGTTTATAAACATAAACTAAAAATAATATATTATAATCAGAGTTTTTATTAAGATGAATTAAAAGTATTTTACATTAAACTTGTGCAAATATTTAATTAAACTTATAGCCAAGAAAGGTACAGATCATTGGTACTGCAAAACTTATTTTTCCTGTTATTGGAATAGATCTGTTTTCGTTTAAGTGAACGTAGGGGTAATGACAATGTATGTTCAGTTTTAAGAAAGTTGTACAGAGTGAGCAACAAAGATTGAAGCGTGCCGCTTCAGCTAAATTGGCAATGTGCCGCTCATAGCATATGCTGATTTGATACGAAATACGAATAGACGCACGTCACTGTGACAGCGCAGAACGTCATTTTCGTATACAACTCCATACAAAGAAGGTAGTTTTGATATTAATAGGAACAAGCGGTGATGACGCACGCTTCAATCATTGTTGCTCACACTGTATATAATTCCTACTGAACTTGCAGGTCTGTAGCTAATTGTATTGTATGAGGAACACAATAGGCTTTCTATGGTACAGCAAATGCAGGGCAATAGGGATTTTGGCTATGAAAGTTGTTAAGAGAGAGGAACGTGGGTTATTTGTTCTGTTTTAAAAGTGTAATTACAGCCAGTCGGTACTTAATAGTTGTTTTATTACTTATTTCTCGACTTCTCGTAGTAATCATCAATCTTCGTATGTCATGTCTCAATTTGATATTTACATTTTGCATAAAATGCTGATATTTGGTTATTGCCAATAAATAAGGTATTCATTATTCATTGGTTATTACAGTATGGTGTGCTCAAGCTTTTGTTTATTCTGAATCATGTTATTTTGTACAGGCGGTTATGCCTTTATATTATTTTATTGCGTACCTATATATCTATGTATTCACATAGAATTGTATTACCTAAGTATATGATGTTGCCTTGAATGTTCGACTAAACGTTTCCTCCTTGGAGGTAGTACCTAATACAGTTCCGATTCTTGACTGTACCTATGTTGCTTCCTCATCTCGTGCGGACCACACAACTCTTGTGTCCACGCAATACGAGAATAGGGACCCTCTCATTAATTTTTCTTCGTTTTAGCGTTGAGTGATTAATTACTCAATAACTCAATGGGTTTAGTACATAGAAGGATGCCAAGGTGTATAAGTGTTCGCTATATTGCAACAAGAAATGCTTTGACGCCGACGTGCAGTATTGGACTGTAATAACAATTTGGGGGAGTATTCACATTTTATACTCAACTGGCGATTTGCAGCACCACATTTAAGTAGCGCGAAGCGATTCTCAGAAGTCAGAAGCGCCTCCACGGAACGAAAGCGCACGTATTTTTGTGTACCAAGAAAGGGCATCCTTGGAACGCTCCCACACTGGGTGACGTGCATGACGAATGTTGCCAAAACCATAGAATAGTAAAATTTACAAATGTAAATAAAGCAAACTGAATCTAACCTCCCTCTCATGTCAGTGAAATAAACAAAACACGTTCGCAGTCGTCAATATTATGCAGCTATAATTTTAGTGTCATTTGCTTAAAATGAGTCTCATGATGTACCTGCTTCGCCACTCCAAGAATTCTACTTTCCTTCCCAAACCAGCTCAAATATCAGGTAAAGTATGCGATACAATGAAATTGCTTCTCAACATTTAAAGCAAATTCCATAACAAATCTTGTTGCTTGAGCTTGGTTTGTCAGTGACCCCAATTCGCATTGCCAAAATTTGCAATGAAAGTTCAGTCACATTTGTTCTACTTTCTTTTCATGCAATCCTATTTCATTTTGATAATTTTAATTTCAAGCTTCTAGTGATTGCATGAGTATACTTATAATTTTGGCAGTTTTGCCATCTTGTTCGTACTTTTTTCCTTTAATGCTGATTAACAAGAAAATCAAAAAGGTGTAAATCTTATGTCATGATAGTTGATGCGAACCCGAAACAGATGTTTTACAGAGGTCTTCATCTTCAAATGATAAGCCGTTGTCTCCCAGAATGCAAGAATTTCGAGAGAAGTTACGACGAGAGAAGACACCGATAACTAAACTAGAAGAACTTGAAGGACCACATCCACACCAAGAAAAGGAACCCTTACCTCCATGGCCTAACAATACAAATCCACATACCGGTGAAGTAGGCGGTCCTAGAGGGCCTGAACCGACAAGGTACGGAGACTGGGAGAGGAAAGGACGTGTTAGTGATTTTTAATTGTTATTTATAGACAAATTTTTGTGAATTTATACATATTTGTTGGGTTATCTTCTGGGAAGACAATAGATGTTTACTTAAGTAATAGTGTAATCTTTTATTTGAAAAAACATTTTCTACCAAGAATACTATAATAGATTGTTGTGTGTAGACACAATTCTATGCTGCTACCAATTTTGTGCCATAGTATTTTTTATCCAATCCACAAAACATGACACCTACAAAATGATAACTCGAAATACCCTCCTTTATAGCCATGTGCACAGAACCTACCTCGGTATAAACGCCAGGGTAATCAGGTCTAGCACATCCAATTCCCCAACTGACTATTCCGCAAAGAAAATATTGTCCGCTGTCCTTGGCGCATACTAAAGGTCCACCAGAATCTCCCTAGAATCGAAAACGTTTCTTAGGAATATGTATCAAATAAGTAGTCTACTTTTTAATGAAAATTGATACACTATCTGTATTACTATACAGTATCTACTACTTGTAGAATCCTCTTCTTTGAAAATAGTATAGAAAACATATTTTTTGAAGCAATGTTTTGCTCACTGACAAAGGTGCATAGTCGCTTTGCGATTGTATAATCTCTCCATTCAAGCTCTTTGAGCCTGTTCCGTAGTTTTCTATGTGCAATCAGAGCTTCTAGGCTGGTTTACATATGAAATGGGTAAATCAAGTTCTCAAACGTCCTCGAAAACACTTCGAGAACGTTCAGTGATTTTTTTCTAGAAAACTTTCCGTTTGCTAAGTATGTAAGCAAATTGAAGCATGTTTAATTGCATTTCCAACATCGCTGCCGAAGTGAATTCGCGCTCGTATGTTTTTTAGGCCCTTTTCAGGTCTTTTTATATGTACATGTATTCTTTTATATTTATATATTTAAGAAATTGTAATATTCATTGTAATGTAGCGAGTATTCCATACATCGGGGCGCCATCAATTCGCTAAAATTAGTCACCAGTGATAAGTAATCAAAGCCGATGCGACGCATTTCCTTGAAATATGATACGCCTTTTAGACTTCAAAAACGCTCTCGTGATTTTTTCTAGTCTTTCAGTTTGCTATATAAGCAAAGTTTCAAAAATATGAACATCTATCTGCCCTGTCACAAGTAAAATTTATTACAAAATTATACTGACAGATGGTCTGATTTCAACAACATTCACCTATCCGCTGGTGTAATCTTACAGGAATTACAATTTTATTGTACCTATTTGAGACATCTATAGTACCATAATCTTTTTTACATACCTGACAAGCATCTTTGCCCCCGTAAGGAGTTCCAGCACATAGTTGACATTCACTGAGATATTGTGAAAATCCAACTTGCTGATATCTCGCTCTACAAGAATATTTGTCGATAAAGGGTAATGTCACTTGTTGTAATGTTTGAGGAGAATTCCCTGCCTCTGTCATACGACCCCAGCCTGATACTGTAGCTAGTCCTACAAGCAGAAATAAGAGTATATCACATTATTTCTCAGTGCACGAATTTGTACATGCACCCAATTACAACACCTTGAAATTTATCATGTTTTTCAGGTAGACAAATGGCGGACGCCCTAGAACCCGATTTCAGTATTAACGGACTGTTTACTTTTAGCAGCGCTATATCATTCCTAAATGTAGCCAGATCGAAGAAAGTTGTGAAAACGTTAACAATGCCTCGGCGTTGTTCGGTTCCTGAAAGAACATATGTACCCATAGAAAAACGACATGTACGATTTACCTTCCAATACATAAAGATTGTGGTCTCCTCCTACAATAGACAAGGATGATACAGGCACTTGACTAACGCAATGTCCAGCCGTGATGACCCAGTGCTCTGACAAAATAGCACCTCCACAAATATGATGTAATTGTCTTCCGTCGTCTACTTGAATTGACACCTGCCACGGAAATTCGCCTACAAATTGTGTTTAATTTACCAAGAAGTAAAACTGATCTAAGCACCTGGCGTAGCGCTTGTTCCTCCTATGATACGATTGAAATAATACCCGCCACGACCTCCGCATCCCGAGAGACCAGTGTTGTTGGCAACATTTGCATTATCTACCGGTTTTGGTGTAGCTACAACACTAGCGTTTTCATTGCGCAACTCAACGTTTTTGCTTACTCTGAGTGATATAGCTCTGGTGCACTGTGCTGGTCGGTTTCGGAGTAGCTACATGAAAAATGGCAAAATTAATTTGTATAATACTTATAAATTTAAAACTTACTCCACTGCGGAACGTAAGTGCTTGTTAGCCAGTGGTCGTAATTTGTTGGTTTTTGCGTTACTAACAGATGAAGGTTATCTAAAATGGTAACGTATCGTGTGGTACTTACCCCATTGTGGGTTGTTGATAGACACATAGGTGTAGCTCGAGTGCTGTGGTATCGAATATGAATATTCAATTCGTTCATCAACTTAAATAAATAAAAATAACTGTGCATGCTTTTAATACACTGATACAATATAGGAGTAGACAGTGGGTAAATTTTAACACTGAACATACAAATCTCCTATTTTCAATTCTTAAATATACAAGTCAAATACCCCCAGCCTATTTAAATCATTATGAGCGCCGCGCGAAATACGCGTTGACCTATAAGCTAAAGCATTCGCGCGCAGCCTTTGATTATATACTGCTGGATAGCGCATTCACTTAAAAGATAATTTAAAGGTTAGTTAATAAGTCGAATCTGCTAAAGCTACACAAATCGGCCGAATATGTATCCAAAATATCTATAAAGTTCAAATTTAGGCACTGTATAAGAGTCCCAACAAATTATTGAAAATCTTTATCTGAAACTTTGGTGACTTTTTGACTACATTGAATAGGATTCGACCAAGAGGACCCTGTATACCAAGTTCAAGGATCTAGGATCTACTTACCATTCAAGAGTTATCACATGGACGGGAAACAGGCAAAAGTACTATCGCAAGATTATGTCGGGTTCTTAATAAGGGCCAATGTAGAACCTATGACTGAAATCAATTGTTGAAATTGTGTGGACCGATTTTTCCTAAGTATTATTATTATTACCCATACATGTTTCTAATGAAAGAAAACGAAAAATTCAGAAATTGGTATATTTTCCTAAATTTTTCTAGACAAGGACGTAGGGTCTTTAAGGAACAGATCAAATAGAGCATGCACATTCAAACAAGTAATTACAAAATCGATTTTCAGTAGGTAACTATCAGGATCCATACATTTTTATAATTTTGTTTGATGTTATTCCAAACCACATCAAACAAAATTATAATTAAAAAATCATTTGTATCTTGACGGATTATTTCAAATGCACAATTATATCTAAACCTATGCTGGGCATTTGTGACATTCAGAGTAACTAAATACCTTCAAAATTAATCGAATTTTACACTTACCTTTAAGTGGCCGACCACATTTAAACACAAACCCCAATAAAAATTGAATTAATAGCAACTTTTTACACATTTTAAAAATGAACCTGTAACAGTAGGTTTCCCATTGACGTAAACAAATTAAGCTATGATATATAAGTAGAAGTTAATGGTCCCCCTGTAATTATCTATCACTAATAAGATAAAGAAATTCACTGATATAAAAAGTGTTTATTTTCAATTTGTGCACAAGGCTTTGCCGCTACGTATTTAGAAAATATGATCATGGTTGTGTACTGCATTCAAACTAATTTTTACGTTTACTGTAATTAAACACAAAGTCTTTACAGAATAATGCTCGGCTCTATCAGCTACCTTACAATAATCTACCTATAGTAAGTAGTACAAGTTTAGGAGTAATCTCCAGGAACATAAAAAATACAGATAGCACATACATGGTACAATACAAAAATAATTAAGGCTACTTCTTTCTAATTAATATGTACGATATGTTTTACTACAAATGGAAGTGTTGATCCTTATTACTACTTATTATTAGTCATCGTTCAAGCACTAAAATTACACACTCGCACACACAAAAATTAGAAATAAATTAAAATGGGGTTTTGATGAAACCTATTTCCTTCGCTCTGCAATTCTACTAACCTAACCAAAACGAAATTTGCATTTAAAGACTACTATTATCAACTGCTAATAAACTTAACTGACAGATGACTTCCACTGAGATTAATGTCAATACAGTTATATTTAACTAACTGATCATTTTCATGAAGATAATTATTACCATAGTAATAACTCTCCATTAAGTTTACCAGCAGTTGGTACAATTGGCTATTTATAGGTACAGATTTATGTAGTAGTGGTTAACTATTATTTTGACGTTTTAGAATTAATCTTTCTATTTTGGATAATGTCTATCTGCAACACTTCATAAAGTAAATCTTGTAATGAAGATAAATAAAAAAAAACAATTAACTCCCCAATATTCAATTAAAGAGGAACAAAAAATCTTTATTTTTTGAAGATTTTAAAAAAAAGTTGTATTGGTAATGTGATAATGCGATAATGCACAATAAATAAAACTGACTAGGGTTTTACGATAATTCAAACAGATTATAAACTATACCTTTGTCATGTACAGGATGAGTCAACTATTGCGCGGAATAAGTTAACACCTTGAAGATTTTCGATAGAGTGCTTTTGTATTACTATGATACGGTTGAATATTTCTCACATTTTACAAATATTTGGAATTCATCAATGTATAAATACTGTGCGATCAAAAATGAGTTGCTGTCGAGTCACCTTTGGAATTTTTGTTTACATGGGAAATCATATTTAACTTGAACTTCCAAAGGCGACTCGACAGCAACTCATTTTTGATCGCCCGAAATTAATTAATGGGTAGGTATGTTTGTGAAAAATAGAGAATAACCTAAAAACTGCACAGGACACTTACAAAAATTGAAGAGAACACAACAGATAATTGAATAGCGAAATAAAATAGTGGTTCCATTTGAAAAAGAATACTTATAGCACATCGATGTTTGGAAATTTTGTCATTTCCGTGAGAACACCCTGCATCACTAAATCCAACTTTCTCATTATCAAAGTGCTACCCTTTACTCAGATTAACATTATTGAGCAAATGTATTTCTTAACTTCAAAATCAAAGTGGCTACGAATCATCAAAGTAAGGGTTAAGGGGAATTATTCGGAAAAAAATTAATAAGATGGCAACGTTGACAAAAAAAAAACAAAAAGTTTCCATGTAGAGGTTATCAAATGACATTGGAACTTGTAAAAATAAACATGGTGTTCTACTTGCAATGATACTTAAATCTTTTCTTTTTCAACACCTGATTTGTTTTTTTAACTTTGCAAACCATAAAATCAAATTTATTTGCTAAGTTTTAGAAATGAAACTTTCTTTTTAATATTTGTATGGTAGGAGTAGAAGAGAATAAAGACATATGACATTATTATTATTATTTAAAAAAATTATATTATGACACCCTAAAAATTGGACACCACCCACACTCAAAAATAATTTCTGTAGATGTGCAAACATCTATAGTTGATATTTGCACAAGATATTTTTTTAATAATTTTGACCATGTATGACGTAGGACCCTGTATATAACCAAATACTATAATATTGAATCGAAAATTTTTAGTGACTTAAAAACTGGGAAAATTTGTAAATTGTGACTTTTGGCTCATAAGACATGATCGAAGAGCTGCTCACAGCTACTGCACTTATAAAGCTTGACTTACTGCGTTACACTGGGTGTTCTTTATCACAGAATTCTCTTTAATGAACACTATGTTTACATTGCTTCATTACTGTGAAAATTCATTTAAATAATTGGGTACAATATTTTCTATTCTCATGTATTTTTTAAAGCAACGTTTAATTGCAAACTTGGGTGAAATAAATATTGTGTTGCATTACAAACTTATGTATCCTCTATCGCTACATAAAGTGCCAGTGCAAGTGTAAACTAAATGAAATTTACGTCAAGCTGCTACTGTACTGCAAAGTTAAACTTCACTTACCTTTTATGCATGGAATTCATTAAATTGACAAGAATCTTTAATTAAATTAATTGGGGGGATAAATAAAAAATAAATGAGCGAGATATTAAATAAAAACCTACCGTAACTAATTGATTAAATCACACTAATAAAATTCACACTAGCTTTAGCTTAATGAAGAATAGATAATTATGCGTGTTTTAGAATACTGGCCCTCAACAGAGGTTTTGGTGTTCACAAATTAGCACACGAGACTAAAAAAGGTAACGTACTTTATACACTCTTGCGTCTCTGTTTCACCGTGACTCCCTCAGCAACGCGCAGACGCAAGCACTTGAATTTGCCCTAACGCGCAACGTGCAAGGGTTTGTTTTGTTTATATTACCACGTTTCCTGCTGATTACGCAAAAAAATTATTGTGTAGTGTTGTGCCATAAATAAAACACGTTCTTTTATTTACGGTGTTATGCAAACACGAAGTAATAATGAACGAGAACGCAAATAAGTTAAAGAAGAGGTAAGGGTTCCACATACTAAAAATGAATATTGTTGATTGTACCTAATAATTAGTTCCGCTCAGCTGTTTGCATGTTTAATTTTTAATTCACAGATATGTCTTCATTTGTACATTATGTGGAAAGACATTTACTAAACAGTGCAATCTACTTAGACACACTAAAAATATTCACAAGTCTTCTGTGGCTGGCAGAGGTTATGTTTACTATTTACCCCTACGAGTACATTTTTTGCTCGTAGCTTTTTACCCCTTACCCTAACCGTTGAGTGAAGGACTCATATTTAATTACTCAATGCCCTTACAGTTCAACGCAAAATCAAATTATAGCGGGCTTGCGGTTGCGCAGTGCCGAGGTCAGAGAGGGAGTCACGGTGAAACAGAGACGCAAGTCTTTATACACATATTGTATAAATAATAAAATAAGAACTACACTACTATACTTACGTAATATAAAACTGGATGTCAGTTAATTAAAATGAAACAAAATTATTAATATTGATGTTTTAATTAGAGCATTTGTCCTATTCAGTTGAAATCTAAAGATGTCCCCGATGATATGGATCATAATTTGCCAAATACTTATCTGCTAAAATGCGAGAACTCTCGATAACCGCCAAATGTCGAGCGTTATCATTTGTTAGTAAACGGGTGTTATCATTCGTCAGCAATCTATTATTATCGGTCATATTCGCCAGCAGGCGCGTATTGTCGTTAGTGAGCAATCTATTGTCGTTAGTCGTCAACAGCCTTGTGTTATCGTTCACTAGGAGTCTTGGCGGTTCACTAACGTTAACTAAATGAAGTCTGGTGGCATCGTTTAAAAGTACACGATGATCAGTCAATAAATGGGCGTCGTTTATAATTCTTGATCCATCATTTGATATCATTCTACTTGTGTCTTGTTGCATCATGCGAGGCGGTTCTGGTTGCATCATGCGATTGTCAGTGGGTTGCATTAACCTGTTGTTTGTCTGGTCATTGTTAGGATGAAATTTGACTTCGTTTGTAGATGAAAATTTTGGCATTCTTGATTGTGTCTCTTGAGTGTTGTATTTTGGAGAAGGGGCGTGGACCTAAAATAATCCACTTTTATTATAATGTGAAGCTATAAATAACATGTTTTTAATGCACACACACTCTTAAAAATGATCATAGAAGAAGTAATATATATGAGTACAGGGTGTCCTATTAATAAAGGTCACAGCCCATCTCTACAGAATCAGCACACAGCTTGGAAAACAAGATTTTGTTAACAAAAAAGGTAAAGAGAAATCGCTGGAAATTATTTCAAGTTTCAAGGTTTGCCGCTAGAGGGCACACTTCAACGCCAACTGCCATTCGTAATATTCGTTGCCATTATGTTGTTCGTTCATTACAGATCCATACTATATGCATCTTTTAATTTTACTCAGCAATTTGATGACGCACAGATCTGATGATGAACATTTTAAAGTTCGAAATCAATAACCTCAAGTTATAAATAAAAATCGAAATTATTAGCAGAATATTTATTCTCAACTTTAACAATAATTAATCCAAAATAATTTTGTGCAGGTCTGCATTAAGGAAAAAAAAGCAGCTCTAGTTCATAAAATATGAGGGCTGGGGAAAGGGAACATCCTTTTAAGGAGTTGAATGCAACTTCGGTTTCAGCCAGCTTGGATGAATATAGCAACTTAGATTTGTGAATGTGCATAATTTCGCCATATCTCTCCTTAGGAAACAGATATCAAAATGAATTTTCACTGATATTTTCACTTTCTCTTACCTTATTTGATAATACCATATAATAATTATATCGTTCCCACAAAAATATACACAAACTAGAACGCGAATGGGTAACGATGCACGACAACAAAATGACACAATTTACTCTGTGCGAATCAGATGTAGGTGCACTTATGAGCTTGCGCATTGTGTGAGCTTACAGATCCAGTCAGGAACTGTGTCTATTTTAGTGGATCCGGTCTTCTTATTAACGCAATTAACGGTTGTTTTGTTTGAAGGAATAATGTCATCAAATTATTCCCTAATGTCCATGTAAAAGAATACCCAAAATTCACTTCGTTATCTGACTTTTCTCAATATGTAGCTACTTCCAAATATTTTAGAGACCGGCCCTGACTACCTTTTTAATTTGAGCAGTGTCTTACTGCGCAAACTCAGTAGTGCATCTGCGCGAATTCAATTTGTGTCAGTTTTTTCATTGCATTATCATTCCATATTTAACACCTCTCATGTGATGCTGTGTTCTTAAGTCTAAAAACACTCCCTGGTGAGAAGTATGTAACTGAGGTTCGTGGTAATTTGTAAATAGTAGTTACTAGTTCCATTTTGCTTCACTGCACTTTGGAAACGATTTTTAATTGGACTTAATTTACTGACTTTACTGATCTTTAAGACAAAACAACAGTAAGTACGCCTTCTTCCTTTCTGACCCTTCGAGAATTTTTGCATTTGAAATTTTGACCAACCAAACAGTGACATTTTGTCCAAACCTATCAGTTTCCCTTTGTAGGTACCGGGATGGCACCTCATAATAGCTTGAACCCCACTTGTAAAAAAGCAGCCCCACCAGTTGATTAGGATAAAAAGTTGTAAAGTAGACATAAACAGAATCTGGAGTGCGATCAGAAACTAAAGGGAAAATACTTTTACCCATTTTGAGTTCGGATCTCAAGAATTGAGCAATATGAATATTGCTCGGAATATTGAAAAGATTTCGACAAACATTTAATTTTTTTTATTTTTGCCTTTTTAGTGACAAGTTAGGAAAAGAATTGGATATAAAAATGATGAAAATGATTCTTAATTTTGTCACTAAAAAGTAACCATAGCAGTGTTTTAAAAAATTGGATTATACAGTGTGTAAAGCGATGGGGTATACAAGGGGGAATTTTTGTTTAAATATTTATGAATGATTTATGAAAAAAATTTATTCTTCATGATATGTTTTGCTTGCTTTGAAAGTACCAATAACGTTTCGATAATCTAAAATTTATATATAGAAATCTGGAAAAATAATAAAATTAATTTTTTTTATTGAAAGTTATCATTCTATATTATAATTAAGATAGAGTATTGCTATCAAACCAATAAACAATCGAAACGTTATTGGTACTTTCAAAGCAAGCAAAAAATATTATGAAGAATAAATTTTTTTCATAAATCAATATTTAAAAAAAAAATTCCCTCTTGTATACCCCATCGCTTTACACACTGTATAAGAGACTAAAACAATCATTTTATCCACAGGAATGGAAGGTCCAAAATAGTACGTATGAGAGCTATTCCCCAACATTTTCTTCTTTAATTTTTTCTCAGCAATCATAACAAATAGGAGAATAGAACAAACAAATTTTTGTAGGTTTTTGTGTATGGCTTTCCAATTTTCCAATTTTCACCCCTAAACACATTTTCATCCATCAGTTGTATACCCTTTCTAAGATTTTCCAAAATTTTTCCTTTAAGATGGCGAATTCCTAAACAGGGATGCAAATGAAATATCTGGGGGATATTCAATTTTTTCCAGACCATTTTAAATTTCCCCACACATCCAATTACATTTTTGATGAATGCTCAATGCTAAATACTTCTTAAGAATGATGTTCCTGTAGGTACATAGTTAAATGTAAAGGGCACATTGTGTATATTACTTTTTCCATGAAGTTGTGCAAAAAGAACACAATAAAAATAATCTAAAGATAGTTCCATGCAAGAGTTTAGTTAACGTGCTGTGTGAGGTCGAAATATTACCTTCATATGTGTATTTAAAGTACTAGATTGTGAAAATGCTTTTCCACAAGTAACACAAACATATGGCCTTTCACCTGAATGAACTCGCATATGACGTAATAAAATGGTATTTACGGTAAATCCTCTACCACAAACACTGCATACGTATGGCCTTTCCCCGGTGTGATTCCGCATGTGATATTTCAGTTTCATCACTGTTGTAAACCTAAAAAAAAAGGTTAAATCTGCCGAGAATAAAATAGCACTTACCTTTTCTGGCAAACTGAACATTCGATTGGTTTTTCAGTACCGTGTAGACGCTTGTGACTTGTTAAATCCCCAGACTGCCGGAAAGCTTTTCCACAGAAGTCGCAAACGAAAGGTCTTTCGTTGGTGTGCGTCCGCATGTGTATCTTTAAGCTCGCTTTTGATACGTAACCATTTTTGCAGACTTCGCAAGCGAAGGGTCTCTCACCTAGTGGAAAATTGTATACATTGCATCAATCTGATTTCCAACTGAAGTCGGCACTATGGCTAACTTTGTTATTAGTCACTTTCCTCAGCCAGAAACAGCTGAACAGTCATCCAGAAATTTAATAACATTTTTTTTTTATAGGCGCCCTGTATATTTTACATACTTTGAAAGATGAAAAGAGATACAAACCAATGAATAGTTAAAGTAAATAAAGATTGAAAATTCAGCATAATAGAAAAAAGGAAAATAAAATCAAACAAAAAACATTAGAATCAGTCTGTCAATTTACTGGTATGGAAAAACATTATTATGAGTCTAAAGCTAAAAAAAAACGCATTAAGGATTATATGAGTGTGAGAGAGACATAACGTTACGATTCAGTTTGTTGTGTATGCTATCTCACTTCACACTCATATAATGTCGGACCCCGCAATAATTTTTTTCCATACCTATAAACAGACACCTAATAATAAAAAAAACGCTCTTTCAGCTATCAGTTCACTGTTCATTCATAAAATTGTTACTCATAATTTAATCTTCTTTCCAAATATATAAAAATATAAGCGCCATTTCCTTATTTTGTTGAAACGTGATGTTCAATTATTTTTCTAATTTAGACAACATTGTTACCTCAAAAATAACAATATCAGTAATAACTAACTTGAGTTAGATCACACTGTATAGTAATATATTATATCAATAGATAGTCCAAAATGTCATTCTCTTCACTGCAATGGGTGGCACACATACAGAACATAAATGAGGCCTTACAACATTACTTGTATCTGCAGAGATAGAAACTATTCCTGGTGATAAAAATGCAAAGTTTCATGTACTAACTTCAAAAAGCTTTGTTTCAAATGCAAGTCAGGATTTACAGATCTACACTTTATAGCTGACAAACAGAATTAGCAATCAATGTTGATATTTACCAAGATTCTTTAAAAAATCGAAGGAATCAGATTTTTTTTTTTTTTTTTCATGTGATCTATCAAACAGTTTCTGTTAACATGTTACTTTTTCATGTGACAACATAGTGACACAAACACATCAGTGTAAAATAAGAGACGGACTACACGTCTTTAGTGTAAACAACCAATCCAGCTTATGATCTATGCAATGTAAGAGAGAGAGAGGGCAAGTTTGAGATCAGTGTACTGCACTTCCACTAGTGGAGTCTCATAGGTTTTTCTTCAACCATGATAATGCTTCACAATTTAAGTGGGGGTCCTCGTCATTACAGCGACTGGGTGAGGGGGTTCTTGGAAAAATTTGGTTGGGAATCCCTGCTCTACTCCAAAGATGATCTTATGCGGAAAATAACTTAATATTTTATAAGGGTAAGGGTACTTTTAGAATTGAGTCAAATTACATTAAGGGACATAATAATATGATTTGTTAAACAGTTTTGCTCTCAAAAGTCAACCCCTAAAATAACCACAATAAAAAAAATATTTTCAAAATGTTCTTTAGCAACTTTGAATGTTTAAATTAAAATATTACCAATGTACACGGTGGTTCAAAGTCGTGGCTCACCAAAGGGATCTCAGTAAACAATTAGAGATATCGTGTTGGTTAAATGGGGGCAAAGTTATGCCTACACATTTGAAATTTTTTAAATCTTTGGAAAGAACCGAGATATCACAAAAAAATTGAAAATGTCAAATTTTGTTTTCATTTCCCCTACCTGAAATGGTTGGAAATGGATGGTTCAGTATAAGCTCACATTTTTTTCAAAACTAAACACTAGGGATTTTTATAAGAAAACAAAAATAAAGGTTTTTTCAAATACTTCGAAAAAGACTATATGAGTTTTCCCCAAAAATGCATTGTTTTGTTTATTTCACATTGAAACTTCCAATTTTGGCGTTTTGAGTTATCATCAAAAATTGTATGAAAACAAGAGTTTCTTAGTTGAAAAATTCACACTTTCACTAAGGAGTGAAAAGTCGAGGGAAAAGTATTGACTTGAGGGGTGGCATTCACTCCCACAGTAAGAGCAACCCCCGGTACAGGGTCAATAGAACCTAAATCTAAATTGTTATGAAAATTGATGCTGTTTGGCAAAATCATACAGAAAAACGGTTTATTGGAGTACTTGGTCTTGGTAAGAACAGGAACACTATTGAATTATGGGTTAAAAGGTCAAAGGTCACTGAAGTTACAGGGAGTCAATGACAAAATAGATATAAAAATAGGGTCATTAAAGGTTGTTCAGTAATTTTCTAATTTCTATTGTACACAAATTTTACACATGTAGGTTTTATGTTAATCTCAATCTTTTACATTTATGTAAAATTTCAAGGTCAATACAGGATTTTCCCACCTATAAATTTATGAGAGTACCAGCGTTTTTTGTAATTATTTAAAAAATGTCACGTATTTAAGAACCCAGTAAATTTTCAAGTTTAGTTTGGGCAAGCCAAGTGATAATTTGTAAAATAATAAAATGTACAACAAGCAAGTGGATTTTGTGTTAAAATCTAGTTGTATCTCGCCTTTGACACTGAAGGTCAAAACTCTCATTTAGCAATTCTGATGTTTAAAAAAAAAACAATAGATACCTACCGGTATGGGTTCGTAAATGTAATTCCAAATTAAATCTCTGAGGAAAGCATTTACCACACATATTACAAACGAACGGCCTATCCCCGGTGTGCTGTTTAATATGAACATCTAATGTAGCGGCGTCGGGAAATTCACTCTTGCAATAATCACAAATATGCTTTAACAGTCCAGGATCTCCCTCCTTCTTCTCGTGGATCTTCATGTGTTTTAGCAAGCTGTTTTCGGCATAGCAACCTTTATTGCAAATTTTACAAACGAACGGCTTTTCTCCGCTATGTTTCAATAAATGTTTGTTTAATAAGGTTGTGTGAATGAATCGTTTATTGCAAAGTTTGCACTGATATGGTTTTTGATCTTCAGGCATGTGTGTTCGCATGTGATTATTTAAATAATTTTCTTCGGTGAAACCACGCGGGCAAATTTTGCATTTATACGGTCTGTCCTCGATATGAGTTCGAAGATGTTTGCGAAACGATTTAAGATTAATAAATTGTTTTTTACATACGTTACACTGATTGGTGTTGCGTTTCAATTTTTTCAATGCACCTACAATGGTAATATAATCCAAACTGCAGTTACCTAGAAATTGAAACATACTTGCTTTGCCTCCCACTTTTGCCAACAGTTTCTTCTTGTTGAGCTTACATTTCTGCAATTTGGCCGCCTTTAAAAGCTGTTTTTGAGCAATGGCTTTTTCATCGGCCGGATTATCTATACTAAGCTGGCTTAACAAACTAAAATCTTGCTTAAATGAATCGTCACTGTCGTTAGACGAATCATCCAGACCCAGATTGTCGAGCAATAAACTCTTGGAGTACAGATCGTGTGCTTCCTCATCCTCTTGCTTGCACGGCCTCGGATTTAACGGTTTACCGAGATACTGCCTTAAATTCGTGTCCGATTGTTCGCATAGTTGTTTAAATGAGAAGGCTCGGCTCACTTGATGAACGCACTGAACGCAGATCGAAGCAGGTAGTCCATCGCCATTTTCAATCTAAAAGTGATACACGTAAGTACGATAAAACACCACCACACATAATACTTGACAACCCAAGTGTGTAAAGGCGACTTTATATTTTTATGCCATTAGATTTTTAGATTAGGTAGTAGTTCTTCAGTAAACAGTTTGATATTGTCATTTATTCCAAGCAATTCCAAACCATAGATTTTTCATAACATTAACCAGACAAGCTATTTTGAATTGATTTTAGAAATTTAGATCTTGGAATTCAACTTACAAATTCTTAAAATTTTGGAGTGGAATTTTGAATCATTATGGTATGGCTTATCCTCGGGATTATCTATTAAACAAAAAAAATCAAATCACCAATGTAGACTATTCAAAAATTCTGAAGTATTTTCAGCTCAGCTTATACTGGAAGAAGACGCACATTTCTTTATTTCAAATCAAAGGCTTCGATTTTTATTAATTTTGTTTTAAATTTACGCAAAATTTTAAGAGATCATAAACTCAATATAACTGTTTAGAATTACTTATTTGAGTTTTTTCAAAATATTTTAAAAATACACCCCTTTAAAATACATTGCATTTTATAAGACAAATGAGATAGTTTCATTATTTTCAGAATTTGATTAAATAAAACCTATTCCAAGTTTGTATAGTTTTCAGAAATCCATATCAAATTTTAAAGTTTTGAAAATTGAAAAATTTTTTTAAATAGGAATATCCTTCTCTTCTGAGAAATTTGGCAGCTTGTTCAGCTATTGTAGGATTTTAAATTACTAGTAGGTTTTGGAATAAATAAAACCATAAAAAAACATGCTGTTCCTGTGCAATAAAAAAAGGAAAAGGCCAACGTGTTTCATTCCTCCGGCATCCCTGACTACAGGGATACCGGAGGCGGGCTGCTCAGGGCTTCCTGACCCTCTTCAGTCAGAGAACGGGATTGTAAGGATGGGTAAAGTTAGGGATGGGAACGGAAGGAACGGAGTTAGGGTGCTGAGGGGGGGAGTACTGCTCCAGCATTCGCCTCGTAGATTTCAACATAATGCTAGCATTATGCGAAGCTACGTATGTCTGAGGAAAACCCCCTGACAAAACCCCAGACAGAGCAGTCGGCAGCGGGATTCGAACCCACAACCTTCCGAATAGCATCGGTGAGCGCATCCACTGCGCCACGTGCCTCGGTCCTGTGCAATACAGCTATGGACCATTTCCCCCCTTTGTGTTTTTGTTAATACATCGACACCGAAGCAACTGTTTCTTGATCATTTTTGTAGCAATTTGGTGCTCAAAGTTGGCATGGAAAGGAAGAAATCGCAGATCTTAAAATTTGTAATTTTAGATTGGATTATAGGTATAACACAATGAACTCAAAAGATGACAACATTTTGGTTTTTGTAACAATAATAAAAAAAACATAATCTAGACGTATAAAAGAGTAAGTAAAAATTTCGGTCATGAATTCGTGCTGAAATGCACATACTTACCTTTTTGTTTGAAATCCTTCAACTCACATGAGATAATAAATAAAAAAAAATATCCAGAATTGCCGTATTTTTTGTTTAATTTTCAAAAAGTAATTTACAAATTCCGTTAAGTGTATCCAACAAAAGTGAACGTGTAAAATATATCTGTATATCTCTATCTTTCTTTTGGTTCTCTCCTCTAACCTGCTTTTTTTACCTAAATGTATTTATTTATTTATGAACATAACAGGTTACTCCAATTACAATGCTCATCGAACCTTAAAAGAACTATTTGAAAACAAAAAATATATATGTATATGTTAATAGTATTAAAACAAAACAACGAAAACAAAAGAAGAATTAAAGAAAAAAATTCCTGCGAACAGTTTACAATTCTTGCATATTGTCACACGGTCTTGCAAACTGATGATTCTAATAAGAGACAATTTGTGAACGACCCTTCAAATATGATATCAACAGTTTCAATAAGAGCACTGACAAACTCTATTGTATTAATTCATCCATAAGCGTATCATGATCTTAATCTTACAGTCTCAAAATGCTTTTTTAAAGTCAGTGTATAATGTTATATGTGACATTACGATCTATCTGATCGCGTATTTAAATATCTGGTATTACTTTCGGTTTAACCGGATATCGATGCAACTTTTGTTTTTCAAATGCAATGCCTATGTTTTTTACGATATTTTAAAAAGAGCAATCAATTATCTGTATGGCAACATAAAATATGCATATGGTCGATTGAAAAAATGGCAAAATTCGTGATTCAATACTTAGAAAATTTATGAAATCTAGCATGCCGTGTTTTGTTTTTAAGATGTTTTTGCACAATGCGTTCTCCCCGTGTAATACTACAGGCACCCTGCATCCTGACAGCACACGGCATGGTAGATGTCATACATTTTCTAAATAGGGAATAACGAATTTCTCTATTGTTTTGTATATCAACCATGTGCATATTTTATGTTGCGTACAGCAAATTGATGGCTCTGTTAAAATATCGTACAAAAATACGCATTCTATTTGAAAAACAAAAGTTACACCGGAAGTTTGAATATAAATTTTTCGTATCTCGCTAAATAAGAGATATTGAGGTGACCTTATCTCAAACGCACTGTATTAAACTAGGTATTAAAAATGTTGAAAGTTTTTGATCCGGTTGCACAAACATATTCACGCTTAAATCCTAATCCTGGTGTTAAGAAACGTAATTGGTTTCATTCCATATATTCAATCCTCTTCAGAGTCCTCTTCTATATTTATAAATAAAATTGAAATTGCCAAGGTACTGATTACCTCTGCTACAGTTGAGGTATCCGAAGAAAGTTACTGTACATTTTACATTATAATTTCTCTTTTTGTTAATGAAAAACAACCACTCAACTCCATCACCATCATGAAAATTGTTGGTAAACATTTTGAAACATCCTGTACAACCTATTACTTGAAACTGTGGGCACCACAGAGACAATGTCTCTGGGGCACCAGCTCCCCTAACCCCAAAAAGTTAAAAAATTGTTTATTTGCTCTCCATGATTCTAATACTAGGTAATTCTACTTTTATTCACTTCGAAATTCCATATAAATAGGTAGGCCATTTTGTTTTGTTTGGGTTTAATTTTCTGTAGAGACCAATAAAAATGTAAATTTGTTAGGACGACCAGTAGGTATAAATAAACGAAGATTAATGTACTTTCACGTTTGTATTTTTTCGCCATAAACGGTAATCACAATTTAAAATGAAATTTCCGTTGAGCGTGAATATAAATAAAGGGAGGAATAAAGATTAATTGAAAAAAAAAATGCAATTAACGCCTCTAACCTGAACAGTAGTAAATCCCATTAACATCTCCGAAAATCTCATAGTTTGTCCATTAGATTCGACGTTGAGGAACACCGAACGCATTTCTCCCTTTTCTGTAAGACAAGCTCGGCATATTTTACTAACATCAAATTGCTGCTGATGCTGCGGCATTAGTTCCGGTTTGATGTCCATTTTAAGACAGGTCACAAATGTCAACGCACACACAATAATTTTTAATAAACAAACACAAACTTGCCAGCAAAATGGATTGTTGCACTGGTCGATTGTGACAATGGCTTGTTGATAGCTTGTCTAGTTACGCAGCAAAATGGCGAATATGCTCAAGCTGTAAGCTAACCTGACATAAGGCTCAATTTCATCCATTACTTTATTGAACGTCCACAAATTATATATGTTAGCATTCGCCCATTACAAAACCGAAACATTTTCGGTTTATTATTTACTAAAATTAAATTTTGTTTTGAAATCGTTGTTAACATATAAGCAATTGGCGATTATTGTATAAATAACTGCAATACTCGTCGTATAAAAATTACACCTACTATAATTATTTCAATTTTATAACTATAAATAAATTTCGGCAAAATTGAAGTGAACATTTGAAATTTTCTTATTTTTGATATTAACAAAATATTGTATCATGTTAAATGTATCTACAGGCTGTCTGAAATTCGAGAGTGGCCAGTGGAAATACGGAAACCGTAAGGAAAAAGGAACAGAAAGTCGATTACCTACGGGAGCGAAATTGCTCATTTTCGAGCCAAATCTAACGCTGCTTCGAAAGGAAGGAATTTCGAATAGGTACCTACTTGCGAAAATTGGCTGCTTTTTTATTTATTTTTTTGTGACTTTAACTTTCTTTGGATACTTTTGAGAGTAAATGACACCCCCATTACAATTTTTTCTCCCCTCTACAAGTGAGCATGATTTTTTAAGTCCGACATTTCGATTCGGCAGTTATTAACTTTTCTAGGGGAATTTTCCTAGTGCTCAAGTTTTGAGACTATTGCAGCCTTGGAAAATGACATGTGTCAAGTACCTAATTTATTTAGAAAACGTGAGGTTAATGCTTGTTCATTAGTTGATTTGAATTTCGCGCCAAGTGAGAGCACATCATGGCTGCCCCCATGTAGGTGTGATTTGTTAATTCAGCATTAGCAGTCCATCTTAATTTATAGTTCGTGGTAATGACAAGAGTCATTATAGCCATTTTCCAATGCCACAGGTGCGGCCGGTAAAGTGACGGTGCGGTCAGTACTTAAGTGACAGAGGTGGACCGTGAGGCCGGTAAAGTGACAGACGGCAGGAAACATAGTTTAGTCTGGTCTGCCTCTGTTAAACTCAAATTTCCTGACAAAGTTTATGTTATATTATGTTATATTACAATATTAATTTTAATTTTCTTTAGCCAGTTATTTTGCATGGGTCCCGCACCAGGCGGCGGCCATTGCCCATATCTGTAAGTTAAAGTTGTCTCTACTAAAGAAAAATTCCTAATAGAAAAATAGGGAATTATATATATTATATTCGCAAAATAATACAATTTTTTTAATAGAAAGGAAAGCTCTTTAAACTGCAAAAAAGTAGATGATGGCTCTAAAAAGCGCAAGCCCATTGTAGAGGAGAAAAAGTTTCACAATTTTAATTTTACTGCTCCAATATTTCCTCGCCAGTAATGTGTCATTTTCTTTTATCCAAAATCGCTATAAATATTTTCATGTTTACTTTATGCTAGGAAATTTTAGTTTCCAACACAGGCACGCCAGACTAATTTTAGTGCCACTTGTCACTTTACTATAGTAGACACACCTCAAAAGTTCTATAATGAAAAGTTTTGTTTTACCTACATTTTACTTTTATCTTTGAACTTTTATCATTGAATAAAAACACTCACTTCACTATATTCATTGCTTTTATCATTGTATATACAATGTTTTTATCTACTCAAATTATTACCTAATGATACAAAGAGTACTCTTTGTATCATGCCGATACCTACTGCTACTGAACAAATGTGAGGGCTGAGCTGAGTGGCTGAGGGCCGTGTAACCTGTAACGTGAAAATGAAATGTTACGCCACTGGAGCATAAATTATGGCTGTGCAATAAAAAGAAAAAATTTAAAATTTTTATGAATGCCGGTTTTTTTTGTTTGTAGTTATCTTATGAGAAAACTAAACTAAATGCCTTCACAGTTCACTACATGGGATGGGACGTGAAGAATGACCGGCCCGAAGAGTATTATGCACGATACACTCATATGTAAATTGTAGGTTATGTTTTCGTTTTGTAAAAGATTAGAGTTCAGTGGTAGGACCATTACTTTTACATAGTCCACTTTTGCGAGGAAATGTATGTGCAGTGAGTGTTCTCTAGAAAAAGAAATTCCTGCGATTTCCCATCCATATCATTGTTTAAATTAACTCTGCTTGATAAGAAGTATAAATAGGTAATTATGGTATGATGTGGCATTCACATATGCCTTAAGTACATTCTAATTCGAAGTGAGAAATGCCCCACAAAGTAATACTTGTAACGGGAGGTTCCGGTTTAATCGGTAAAGCCATTGAGACTATAACCAAATTGGAGCCAATTGAAGGAGAAGAGTGGGTTTTCCTAAGCAGTAAGGACTGCGATTTGTGGTAAAATGCATGATGGATTTCTCTTGAATTAGAAGTAGTAGTTTCAATTTACAGTGATACGGAAGCAACTCGAAGAACGTTTAACACTTACAAACCGACACATGTTATTCATTTGGCGGCGATGGTTGGTGGATTGTTTCACAATATGGCGCATAATTTAGACTTTCTCGTGAGTATAAAGGGCCACATTAAATATACTTTATGTTGTGTTTTTCAGCGTAAAAATCTACAGATAAATGACAATGTACTTCAAATAAGTTATGAAGTTGGAGTAGAGAAAGTGGTGTCATGTTTATCTACGTGCATTTTTCCAAATGATACTTCGTATCCAATCGATGAAACTATGGAAAGTATATACTTACAATTAATAACATTCTATACAGAAATTGGTCATGTTATGGCTGATCTGTTTAACAGTTTCAATGTTTGACTTTTTCAAGGCTTTTTCTATTCGTTTAATATCATCACAAGCCCAATAGTCACCATTTGAAGGTGTAGTGTTGTTGTAGCCTCGGTTGTAGCTCTCCTTACTGTTATTTGGGGAAGCTACCCACATCTATTAAGGTGAAAGTGAATCAGAATTTGGTGCTCTTTACTTTACTGCATCACCAGCATGTTTTGGGATGGTTGGAAGAAACTGATACAGGGGGTTCCAAGTTTATTGTTAGTGCTATCGCTATTTGGGTCACACGTAAAATGATAAATTTCCAAAATATAACAAAAAAATTCAAAAATATACTACAAAATTCAAAGATCTTTTTTGGGATCAGTTTTTAAAATCTTTTGAATTTTTCTGTATTATCTGAATCTTTTTTTAATATCATTTATGGTGTTTTTTTTTCCGAAAACATAATATGCTATTCTTTTAGTTTAAAATCTACAGGATGTCCAATTCGAAAAAATGAGGTTGGATCCGATAACTTTTTTTGCTGACTCTATATACTTACTCTGAAAACGGCAAATCATTCAACAATCATAAAGAAACCTGTACTGCACATTTTTTTGTATCTATTAAAACTAAGGAAATATTGATTTTTCGCTATATCTCTTAAAGCTGCCGAATATTTTCAAATTCTGATTTTACCATTTTAAGTTTGACCCAAAAAAAAGCACATGACGCCTATATTACATTTTGATAGTGCTAGCAATTACCTATAAATATGGGGAAAATGGGATATTTTTGCTTACAGAATTCTCAAGCTCCCCTTTAGATGCACATAAGAGGACTGTAACAACAATAATATTTGTTGCTGTGTTGTCTTGTAGGGTATCTATGGAGCATATTGTTCGTTCCATTAAAGCAATGTTTTTACATACAAACATATTACAAGATATACAGGGCGGCTTATTTTCGTGCACAACCATTAGGAGTTACTATGTCAGTTAAATTGGAAAGAATGTGCCTCTTCAAGGGTCAAATTGAATCCTGCTATTGTTTTGTTTGCATAGTCAATGGCCAACTACATTCCTACATGTATATAGACGAGAAATCAAATTTGACTTATTTCTGCAAAAGGTGATAACAATGAGAGATAAAACATTTTTTGCAGGGTTTTTGTTTTGACAGTTGGGCGTCCATAGCAATATCAACCCATTTTCATTTTTCTCTATTTCTGCCATCTATACCTGTATTTCCGAGTGTATTTCACCTTTGCGGGTGTAATCAACTTAATTGTTTTATTATTATTATCAACAATCCATTTTAGGTTCATAATGGTCCGCCTCACTGTTCAAACTATGGCTACAGTTATGCCAAACGTTTTATTGATATAGCTAATCGTGCCTACAGTCAGCAACATGGGTGCCGTTTTACGTCGGTTATACCGTGCAATGTTTTTGGGCCCAACGACAACTACAATTTGGAATCTAGTCACGTTATACCGGGACTCATCCGCAAATTACACGATGTAATTGAAGCAGGTACGATATTGGGAACGATTTATGAATTTTAGTCTATCGTCCAACAGGTGGAAGAGAATTTACTGTGATGGGAAGTGGAAAACCCCTAAGGCAATTTATTTATTCGTACGATTTAGCGAGGCTGATTATTTGGGTTCTGAGGGAGTATGATGAAATTGATCCGATAATGCTGACCGGTATAATTTTATTTAATCTACCATTTCTAGAAACTCTACATTTAAATTTTCAGTTGATGAAAAAGATGAGATAACAATTAAGGAAGTTGCCGAGAATATCGCTAAGGCATTTAAATTTGAAGGTGAAATTGTTTTTGATATAACCAAAGCAGATGGTCAGTATAAGAAAACGGCAAGTAATGCAAAATTGCGAAAATATTTGCCCGATTTTCAATTTACTCCATTTGACATTGCAATTCAACAATCTGTGGATTGGTTTAGAACAAATAATGAGACTGCTAGATTGTGAAGTACGCCTTCATGTGTTGTTGAAATGAGGTTGTTATGTATAATTTTTATTGTTAATGTATTGTCAATAATAATGAATAGTAATGACATCGTACGGGATCCAATTTAGTATGTGCTAAATTTCTTAGGCCTATCTTAAAATTATATTGGCCAAAATACCCTTTCTAAATCGTCCCTTACTTATAACCTTTAAAATGTTACCCCTCTAAGTATGTTTCTACTAAGTCGCAGGACGGAAAGATCTAAGAAACCCCTGCTCCAAACAGTTTCTAAGTACAGGGTCATTCCTGACGAGCGTCAGTTAGAAAGATATGGAAAACCTTTGAAAATGAAACTAAACTGATAAGTCCTTTAAGGGTTTTGGCACATGATGAATTGAACTAAAATATTTTCAAGATGGCGCCACTTCCGGAAATACCGGAAGTAGCCATCAACTTTGTTATTTTAAATAGGGACCCCCTATTTTTTCTACATTTTCGGATTCTACGTCAAATTTGGAGTACAACGATACCCCATAGTTGACCCTTTGCTCCAAGGGCTTCGCCGATATTCAAGTTTTTATGTCAAAAATTGAATTTGCAGGGGTAATTTTAAAAATTTATTATTCGAAAACGGTGAGAGATATTGCAACACAGTTTTCACTGATTTATTAAAGAAAGATCGAATTTTCTTATGGTATGCGTAACACTCTTAAGAAAGTGAAACTACGCCACTTTTTCAAAGCTCTCAACATTTAAATGTCCATAACTCCATTTTTTCAAATGGCACCCCCCATTTTGTTCTTCACCCTTGTTTTCCTTTTTCCTAGACCTATAATTTGATACAAAATGTTAAAAGCTGCTTCAAACGGTTTCCAAGATATTCCATGTTTTAGTTACTTCTTGTAGCAAATTAATAAAAAAATTAATTCGCTTGATGTAATTCTTTTGTTTTTATTATGATAATGTTTAAACGTCAAATTTGCAGGAATAATGGTATGTTACAAACAAAAATACAAAAAAGGAAGCCTGCGGTAGACTCTAAAGGACAAGAAATAACAGCTGTACTGCCGTATTTTGCTGCAAATCATCGCTTAATGATATCCAAAGAGAAATTGACATATCAGACACGAGTGCACAAAGAATTCTCTGTACTGGCGTATTTTACAGTTATTTCTTGTTCTTCAGGGTCTACCACAGGCTTCCTTTTTTTGTATTTTTGTTTGAAACGTACCGTTATTCCTGAAATTTTGTATTAATTTGCGAATTATAGCCTCTGTGGGTTGCGCCTTGTGGGGTATCTTTCGGAAAAAAGACGGCAAGTCCTGGCCGCTATTCGATTATATTCACCGTGTATTAATATTAAATTCAAAAAATCTTCATTAGTGTAACCCAAACGAGCCATTATTGACGAGAAGTATAAGTTCAAGCAGCGAAAATTTGACGTTTAAACATTATCATAATAAAAACAAAAGAATAACATCAAGCGACTTAATTCTTTTATAAATTTGCCACAAGAAGTAACTAAAACATGGAATATCTCGGAAACCGTTTGAAGGAGCTTTTGACATTTTGTATCAAATTAAAGGTCTGAGAAAAAGGAAAACAAGGGCGAAGAACAAAATGGGGGATGTCATTTGAAAAAATGGAGTTATGGATATTTAAAAGTTGAGAGCTTTGAAAAAGTGACGTAGTCTCACTTTCTTAGGCTGGTACGCATACCATAAGAAAATTTGATCTTTCTTTAATAAATCAGTGAAAACTGTGTTGCAATATCTCTCACCGTTTTCGAATAATAAATTTTTAAAATTACCCCTGCAAATTCAATTTTTGACGTAAAAACTTGAATATCGACGAAGCCCTTGGAGCAAAGGGTCAACTATGGGGTATCGTTGTACTCCAAATTTGACGTAGAATCCGAAAATGTAGAAAAAATAGGGGGTCCCTATTTAAAATAACAAAGTTGATGACTACTTCCGGTATTTCCGGAAGTGGCGCCATCTTGAAAATATTTTAGTTCAATTCATCATGTACCAAAACCCTTAAAGAACTTATCAGTTTATCTTCATTTTCTAAGGTTTTCCATATCTTTCTAACTGACCCTCGTCAAGAATGACCCTGTATAGCACAGCACAAAACTTTTCTGTCTCTTGTGCGCTTCCCAGAACTTGATAAGGCGTTTGTTTTGGTCTAAAAAGAGCAAGCAAGTTCTCTGGGAGATTCTTAAAACAGAAGCGAAAAGAAGAAGAGCTAAGGACGTGTTTTCCAACCCCTTACGATGTGTTGAAAGCGTTAGAAAATCGTGACTGAAAACCACTCAAATAATGCACTGGAATTGATTCCTTAGTATAAATGCTATAAAGAGACTCCTTGACTATTTCCTCAGGTTTCGAGGGCTTTTTAAGGCCATAGGCTAGGAGGGTAGTGAAGCCCGGGCGCTAAAAGTGTTCTACAGTTCGAAAACCCACCAAATTATGTCATCTAATTTAAAAAAAAGCCAGTTTTTTGTCATCAAGGTCCAGTTAAAAAGTTGGCGTAGAACCTGGGGTTTACAAGTAAACTGCCTGGCATTGAATTGGCTTAGCAGAGACGGCAATGATGAGTTGGCATGGCAATGAGAGGATCAGCAGAGTTGAGATGGCGGCAATGAAGTCCATTTATAGCGCCTTTCCAGGCATTTTTTCCTCAAACTATTTGATAAGGCTTTCTATGTTTTTTTCAGAGGTTTATGGACCTTTTCAGAGCTTTGTACGTTTATTCTAAGCGATTTTCCTGCTAATTGTGAAGTGTCAGTTATTTGGAGTTAGGTTGGTAATCTCAAGTATCTTCAATAAACCCGGTCTGAATTAAGCATACATTTGCAGAGTGTGATACAATATTTGCCAAAAAGCTCAAGGCCAAGAAAACGGGCTCCACAGTTTAAGAAACGCAGAACCATAATCAAAAGCAAGTAGAATTTAATTATTCAGATTTCAGATATTTATTTAAAAAAAATAAGCAAGTTACACCACAAAGATCAGATGTTTTATAAATATAGTTTCTATTAGCAACAAAATAAATTAATTGTTAGCCTAAAAATAATGGTGCAAATCTTGTTAAATAAATCTAAAATACAGTACATTGAAGTTAAAAGTACTCTTAAGAAGAATTTAACATGTTATTGTGTTATAGTTCCAACGGATTTGGGACAATCGCACGTTCACACCTCCAGATGCAGTATGGTGCTTATGGACATACAGTACATGCTTGCCAAACGTGACAATGACAGCACAAGGAGATTATGTTTTGTTTTCATACTTCAATAGGCGTTTACGAAAATTGAACCGGTTTAATCAGGTTGGTAAAAATTACCATGGAAACAATTATCGCAATAATTGTTACCATAGCAAAATCTACAAACTTGGTTAAGCCGGTTGAATTTTCGTAAACGCCTAAAATAATCATATGGTTAGAAACAAGGATAGTATTATCGAAGAATGACGCAAACTAGTAATGAGAGGCAATTAGTCCATAAGACCCCATACTGCATCTGGAGGTGCAAACGCGCTATAGCATGAAACTTCTTGGAAATTGGAATTTTAGTTAGAAAGACACAAATAATTTGAAATAAAAGTTACAAAGAGGGCAGAAAAGTTCTAAACATGTACTCAAAAGAAAAATAAATTTAGTTGTAGATCCAGCCCTTGTACCAACAAACGATTTTTTTAAAAGTATTTTTTACTTTAAAAAAATAAGTAGTTTGCATATTCTGCACGGAAGTGTAAAAGAGAATCTAACGCAACAGTTTAATAGGCCTTTTACAATGTCAAAATACTAAATAAATGACTAGTTGCTATGATCCTAAAAAGAAAATGATTATATCGAACTAATTTCCTGAACCTGAACCGTGTGCACTGTAGTACCATCCCTGAAAACAAACCATAAGAAATGGAATTGTAGAAATTGTGAAACTTACAATATTTCCGTAACTTGAACCGTTTCTACTTTGGAGAGTTTCGATTTCGCAACAATCGTATGTGTACTAATGTGTTGTTGCAATGAGCTCGATTGCGAGAAGCTTTTATTGCATAATTTACACACGAACGACTTTTCACCCGAGTGTCCGCGCATGTGCACTTTGAGACTACTTGAACCGGCGAATCTAAAAGCAAAAATATATGATGTGGAGGAAGAAGTTCAGACTACATACCTCTTTCCACAGATCCCGCACCCGTGTGGTTTTTCACCGGTATGTGTCCGCATATGTCCTGATAAATGTCCAGATGAAGTGAATCCCTTATTACACACCGAGCAAATGTGCGGCTTATGCCCGGTGTGCGATCTGGTGTGTATCACTAGCGTCTCATGGCGACTGAAAGATTTCCCACACAAGTTGCAATTGTATGGCTTCTCACCGGTGTGGATGCGTTGATGTATTGCTAAAGTGTTTGACCCGGCAAATGCTTTTCCGCAAGTTGTGCAGATGTAAGGACGTTCGCCTGTGTGAGTGCGCATGTGGATTCCCACATAACCCGACTGGGTAAATCTGAAATATTGTATTGTGCATAACTGTTTGAGCCGCGCATTTTCCATTTGTAATTCGGGTAGTGTCAGATGTCATTCAAATTATGTAGAATAAGTAATTAATAAAAGCCATTTGTGTAATTATGGCAGACTCTCAAATTTGGAAGTTTCTTATTTAAGTACACATAATATTTTTTGGACTGAATTACATTTGATGGATTTTGAAATTCAGTTAGCACTGTCTGAAAATATACAACCCCAGTTATAACTGGAAAAAGTGCAGTAGTTCGCAATAGTAGTTGTAAGAATGACATAACTAACAGTACGCTTTTTCACATTGCTATGTTAAATTACGTTAGGACGTGGTGTAGAGCTAATTGATATTATTACAGAAAAAACACGAATTAAAAATTTTCGCCTTAAGGCGAGTAACTTTAGGGCCATGTAACGTAAAAAGTTGACGTGTGCGCATCTGATTTTTACAATATGTGATATGTTTGTCTTTACTGGAAGCATTTCTGATTAAAACTTCAAAAAAATATCTCCACAAAAAGGAGTTGACATTGTGCAGTCAGTCTGCCCATTAATCTGATGTTTACAATATGTGATACGTTTGCTTACACTAAAAGCAATTTTGGTTAACATTTCAAAGAAATATCTCCATAAATAATACTTGCCATCGCGGAGTCTGCGCATGCGCGCATCTGATTTTTACTATATGCAATATGTGTGCCTTCACCAGAAATGTGTGATTAAAATTTCAACAATATAATTATATTAATAAATAAGGAAGTTGACATTGCGCAGTTTAATTGTTACGATTTTCCTTGGCTCAGGCGCTAGAGCTATGCGCTACCAAATGCAAAAAGAACAAACTTAATATCTCGAAAACTGTAGAAATAGTTAAGGTCTCGGACGGACGGACAGAGAAAGTGGCTGCAATAGCGCACCCAACGGCGCTAAAAACACGAACTTATAAATTAAGATGGACTGCTGATCAAACAGTTGCATAGAGGTAGAAATGGCCCTAGCATGGGCGCCGCCATGATGCACATTCTAGTTATTTTCTAGGGGAATTTTCCTATTGCTCAAGTTTGAGACTATTGCAGCCTTGGAAAATGACATATGTCACAGTAATTTATTTAGAAAACGTGAGGTTATTGTTGGGTTAATGCTTCTTCATTAGTTGATTTGAATTTCGCGCCATGTGAGTGCACATCATGGCGGCCCCCATGTAGATGTCATTGTTAATTCAGCATTAGCAGTCCATCTTAATTTATACGTTCGTGGCTAAAAAGCATGAACCAATAATCACAATTCTAGACAGTTCACATCAAGCAGTATCACATGACCCAGAAACCTTCTTTTTTACTTATAGTTTCTGTGAACTTTCACAATATAAAGAGACTTTCAGTCATGCCATCACTTCAGCTTCTATGGCGACCAACTTCATAATTCCCTAGCCTTACCCTTTCCCGCATGTGGGGCACAAAAACGGTTTTTCCCCTGTGTGCACTCGTAGATGCTTCTCGAGGTTGCACACCTGCGTGAAACTTTTTTGACAGATATCACAAACGTAAGGCCTCTCTCCCGTGTGAGATCTAACATGAATGCGTAAACTTCTAGCCTGTAAGCACAGAAATTAAAGTAATCTGATGCGACTTTCGAGAACATACTTCGACATATTGCTTACTACAGTACTTGCACGTAAGCAACTTATGTCCTGTATGATATTTCATATGTTTTGAAAGGCTAGATGCCCATTTGAATGCTCTCCCACAGACAGAACACAGATGTGGTTTTCCCTTAATGTTTCGCAACTCGCCCGTATGTTTCTTCTTATGCTTACTTAAATTCGAGCTCTCGGCAAATGACATATCACACTGATCGCATTGATGAGGTTTCTTATCCAGATGAATTTTGAGATGACGCTTTAAGATACGCGCCTCTGGGAAACCCTTGTTACACACGTGACATACATGATCCAACTCCTTCGGATGGCTCATCATGTGCACCTAGTACGAATAAGACATATAAAATCAATTCTGGACGTGACAACCAATATACCTTCAGATCGACTTTCAATGGAAATGATTCATCACACTTAGAACATGGGTACTTCTGCTTTGAAATCTTTTCATTTGTTTGAGCAGTCACATTCTCTAGTGGATCTTCGGTAACAAAAATTTCCCCTTTCACCTAGAGGTTCCGATATTAAACCAGTTTACACATATTTAACTTACTTCAATTTTGTATGTGCCATCCTCTATGTAACTCACATTGACCAATTCTGCTGGAATTGCATCAGTAATTACCGTTTCATTTGGCTGGGGGTCAAAGTTTAGTTGCTCTTCTAGTTCCTCCTTCGTTTGTTGATCAAGTAAAGATTTTGTGAGCTGCTCCTAGATGATTTGGGAAAATTGTTAAGGCGTGTTTTAAAGAGTAATGTATCAGATAGGACGAATTGAACATGATTGATCAAATAGGGGGAACATAATATAGATTCAGTTCTTGGCTAATTTCCATTTACCGCTTATCACAAAAAAACCATGCACTTAAATAGCGCTATAGTGTACGCTTTTATTAAAAGAGGAGTATAGTGACTGTTTTAATAAGGAGGATTTGGCGGACACGCATGTGATGTGTGATCGAGTGTGTGATATAGAGTAGTATTTCTTGAAGGATAAGGGTAATGTCGATAAGATGAAGGATGGTATGTGTATAAACGAGCTAGATTGCTAAATAGTACTGTCGGTTAATGCATATTATACAATACCTGAAAATCTGTACTAATGTACTGCCTCAGGATATTTTCAGACCTTTCACAAAGCTGTTTGAATGTATACGCCCGACTGCACTGTAAGACACATTGAACACACATGAGGTTTGGTAATCCATCATTCTCTTCAACCTGCAATAAACCATGCATAATGAATAATCTAGAAGTTGATCAAGTCAATATTCCTTGCAGTATAAATTACTCAAATCCTTTTAAAGAACAAGATAAAAAAGTTTATGCACATCTACAGATGACGATAGAACATTTTGTATGCACAGATTGTGCTGAAGTACTTATTTCCAGAGTTATGCAAAAATATCTCCAGATTTCAAACATAGTGATCCGGATCTGTTAGCATTGTAACGGAGTACTCAGTTTCCGTACCGGAATTAATGAACACACTGTATACTCGTATTTTGCGCTACCAGCTTTAATGAACATCCAGTATCTAGAGGCGCTTCGTTACGAAACGTGTTGTTCCGGAACTATTTATTTCTTTTAGGAGTTGGAGACAGAAGGTAGTTGCCATATATAATTGGTCAGTTTTATAATCGTTCCCGTAGAAATATATAAATTATTTTTGTGGCATCCGATAGCCTTCAGCATGGGGAAATTAATATTTCAGAATTTCCGCTCTGTTCAGTAATTATTAGATCATTTTGGTTTCATCTGTTAAGCTGAAAGATCGTGCAGTTAAGCAAATTAAGTAAGTGTAATTAACAGTAGCTAAACGAGTTGCAGTAGATCGCATCCGAACCAGTCGTGAGTGGTTTCATTAGAATTAGATTTAGTGCTCTAAATTGAGCTAAATTTTGATACCAATTACACATTTTTAGTTTATCGCAGACTGCACAATTAAATTAAGAAGTTTAATTTTTTGGACGCTATTATTCGAATACGTGGTTATGGCTGGAAAGCCGTCGATTCTCCATGAAATGGCCGAATTTTATAAGGCAGTTATTTAGAGAAAATCTTTTTGCCTTTAGTGTGTAACTGAATGGGGAAGTTCACTTTTTGTCAATATTCACTGTACGTTTTGCGATTTTATCACCACTCCGTTAACTTTAAAGGTAGGCATTTGCTATATTTCTTTTGCTCATAAGGGGATTATTGTTTTACTTTTCCTGGCTTTGCTTTCTCGTAGCTACCGCCAATTAATTTATGCTTGCTTGTTCGATCCACCAATCGCCCCTTTCGTTTGATGACTCGTCGAAAAACCGACCTCTCGGAATCGAGGCATCGCGTTGGCGCACCATATACTTAACACTATTCCTTTGCACCATGCCCGAATCACGCATCAAATCGGCGCATCGACGAATAGTGTACTCCGGGCTTTAAGGCTGCGTTCAGACACGATTCTCACGCGGGTCTCGCCGGTTGTCTGAACGATTTGGAACATTTTCATGTAAATAAGATATCGTCGTAAGAATCGCGCGATTCCTCGATTCTGATGGAATCGCGCGAATATGGCCGTGTTTGAACGTAGTCTAAATTTGCTTCGGGGCAGATTAGGTTTAGTTTATAAGGTCATTTTGGGTAAAGTTACAAGTTCATTTTAGATATAGGTAAGAGTATTGTCATATTGGTAAAACACTTTTTTTGTGGCGTGTGTTTACAAACCCAATAAATCTTGAGTTTCATTTTACTTTGAGCAAGTCGAGTGTTAAGTAGTTTCTATTACTTTTTTAGTCAATAAACTGTGCACAACTCTTGTGCAGATAAAGTTGTGGATACTTACTTCGCTTTAAAAGTGTAGTTTTTCGTGGGGGACAGGCTGGTAGGAGGCGTATTTTAGATATTGAAAACAAATGATCTAACACTTTTCTAAAATCCACACTTATACGATGTATTTGTTGGGTATTCTTACCAGTAGAGGGGGAGGAAGGGGACTAGGGGGACAAATTGCGGAATCGGTATCCGTGGAAGAGGAATATATTCGTACCCATTTTCATACTTTCTTACTTCTTTCTAAATGATGATGATACGCCCGGAAACATTAATCAATGTTAAAGAAGCAATTGGAATCCAAATAACATTCATGCGTACAATCGTTTTAGATTGTGACGTTTTAATTAAATTTCTGGCCATAAAAAAATAAATATGATATATATTACCTATATCAAAACATTCATCTCTGAAAATTACCGCTATTTTTGATTTCTTAAAAACGATTGAAAGTATTCACAACACAATGCTTCTAACACTGACAGGAAACTTGAGCTAAACCAATCAGGAAAAGATACCATAGATTAACCCAACATCCGGTTTGATATGTTCGGAAATTTAATGGTCCGTTCTCACCTCCGAAAATGATCACTATTATTTTTAATTTCTTAAAAACAATTGTGCTTGTAACACTTTAGCTGAACCATTGGAAGAAAAAAAATACCATCTTGTTCCTTTAAATCTGATGGGAGTAAGTGATCACGTGAGCTTATACCCCCTACTCATACCTGCCATTACCCGCACTACGTACATCCTTACCAACCACCGAACCAACTTCCTATACTTGACCTATCCCAGGACCTTCTTATTTTTGTATTTATTTCACATGCATCACTTCAATTTTTATTGAGCGAAGTACCTAACCCCCAAATTAGAAGTTTACTTCTGCGCACAATCGCGCGCGCAAGTTTTGACATGTTTAATACAGTCGATCGATTTACTTAAGAAGTGCTTCTGTTACAATTTCAGTAAGATCGGTTCACAAACAAAAACTTACTTTTGCGTATATATGCGCGCACACACAGCTTTTGACATGTTTGATATAATCGATGTATTTTCTTTTTTTAAGCGGCGATCAGTGGCGTACTTACGAAATAGCTACAGGGGGGCGTAAAGAAAGAAAACCAATTTTTTACAAAAAATTTGGAGTGTATGTGCATATGCATTGTGCATGTATAAATATAGTGGGTATAATAAACATAGAAGGTCCATTTTCAAAATAGTTTCCAATTTTATTGTTTTATCGTTAAGTACATACTCGTATACCGGTATACCTATAGGTATAGATAGCTCATATTGGTTAAATTTATGTCAAAGGAATAGGTAAATTCCTAAATTTATAACAACATATTAACACGTCTATTTTTCTGACGCGCCAACTTATCTAAAACCCTCTCTAAATCGACATCGTGTTGACGATGAATACTTAACACTGCAAGTCCATTAAGACGATTCTGAAACATACCATTGTTCACATTACCTATGCAATTCAACATAATTTATTCTTAACACATACCTGTCCAATAGTATTTCGGAGGTATGTTTTAACTCTCTTTAACGTGGAAAAAGATCTTTCGCTAGTTGCTGTAGATACGGGCAAAGTAGCTAGTAGGTGAAGTAACCTGTATATATTAGGAAAAAAAGAATGCCGACATCGCGCGCGATGGGCACAGGGGGGCACACGCCCCTATGCCCCCCCTGTAAATACGCCACTGGCGGCGATTCTGTTAAAATTGCAATAAAATCCGTTCACAAATAAGAAATTTTTTTTACACATGCGTGCACGCAGCTTTTGACAACTTATGTATTAGCGAGTTGTTGTGTTATGGTGCTTTGAGGCGAGTAACTACTAATTTTCATTTTGGTCATAATTCATTACGGTTAGCAGGTGTCTCTAGTATGGTATTAAAATTTTAGTAAGATCGGCCCATAAATATGCGCATGCGCAGAAGGATACGGTTCACCAGTCTGAAAATTAATAGGTGTCGTCTCCAAGTGGTAAGTAATACGCCTCCCCACTACATTTTGAGTTATTGTGCTAACAAGCCAGACAACTACAACAACAGACTTCGTCCTGTGATGAATGCAACACTTTAAAGCAAGAAACCAAGAATCAGGTAACAGTTTTAGTCTCGGTTTTAGATATTATGATCAGTACGAAAAATTGACCATTTTAGACAATGGCGTCACTATATTTGCTTTAAACTGACGCGTAAAGTGAACATTGAGAAAGTATTCTACCTTCTATACAACCCAAGAACAGACTGGGGCATGTATAAAGAAAAACTTCAAGAAAAAATAAAGTCCATATAGAACTTAAGTTCTCCACAACAACACTAGACTCCAAAGGTGACCAGCTGGAGGAGGTAATAAACTCCTCCTAAAAGGTCTGCTGTTCCAATTCAATCTCAATCAGGGGCGGATTACAAATCACCTATTGGAACAAAGAAATTGAAAAAGAAAGACGGAAAGATACACAAACTACTTACCATAAAGCGCAAAAAGAGTACACAAACAGATAACACCAAGACAGTATCTTGAAGGAGATATCACTGGAATATCGAGTTAACTCGAAAAACAGTGAGGTTACACAGGGGTCTATCCTCGGTTCTATCAAAACAAATCATGTGCAAACGAGTACATCTGGCTGGGATCTCACTTCCCTAGGTGCCAGCCAGGACACATTTGCACCACATGCCAAGAAATGAGGGCGGGAAGAGAACCAGAAAGGTAGAAACAAGTAAATGGAACAGATGGGCTGTAGGCTCATTTAATCTCCCTGATAGCATGTCACAATGAATGCATAAACTGCATACCACAAACCAGTGGCAACACTCAAGACGGACACTTAAAAGAGTCAGTCAAGATGCAAATCCTGCAATTGAAATGAGACCTAAAGAAAATTATCAAAATTCCGAGAATTAATAAAGTTGACAATAAAGAATTTCTGTAAACTACCTATTTTTCCAAACAATGTTTATGTTATGGCACACCTGCACATTTCATGGAATCATGTACGATTTTCATTTTTCCAAAGAAATTCCCCTTATGTGATCGTTTTGTCCGTCCTTCTGTTCCTCATCTAACTGGAGAGCGAAAAGAGACAGCAAAGTCAAACCTATACTAATTACTAATCGATTTCTACAAGTTCAAGGATCAGGGCTATTGAATATGAGCCAGATTAAAAGCTGTGTTTCCGATTGCGAGTCGAGTGGAGAAAATTTCCCTACTGAAAATCGTAGGCGATTCTTCGTATCTTGTTGCACACGTATTAGTTATCTTGTATAACTCAAAGCAAGCAAATCTATAAATTCACTCATCCAATTTTTAATTCACTATAAAACGGAGTCTGAGTGTGCTTATTTCCTCCACCAAGAATTTGCTCCTTTACCCTCTGGCCTTTACTGTTTAAGGTACCAGTTACCAACACAACTTGAATAAAACAATTATACATAATATTCTGATGGTAATTTAATGGTCCCTTGTGACTGCCAGCATATTGTTGCTAAAACTAAAGTAAACGCATATACACGCTAGCTATACGATATTATGAAAAATATGCCCAAATTCTCTAGTGAATTTTGTTCTGGAACTGGAAGCTCTAATCATTGCTTTCTGCCTGCAATATTTCTTAATTGGAAAACGACGAATTTCAACTTTTCAAGTAAGATTTCTTCACGAGTACCTACTAAATACCTACAAATCACATAACAGTTTTGGTTTATTTATAGAACGTAATACCGTATTTAAACTTGGGATCATTAACGTTGCACTGTAAAATTGCTTTTATCTTTTTCTACACTCCGGCGAAGTACCGAATGTATGACAGAAAGAACACATAACAGAAAGATGTAAATAAATGTGGAAATTACCTGAATGGCGGCAAACGATACGAGCATTTCGTCTAAGCAAGCCCCAAACAAAGGTCGCATATCTCCCTTTTCGCTTAAACATGCCCTGCAGATCTTTTGCAGTTGTAAGGGTGCCGTTAAATAAATACTCATGTCCATTTTGCACAAATTAGAAATCACACACGTAATCTTATTCGAAACGTAAGTCGTGCATTTGACAAATAACCGATGTCAGAAATGGCGAACGAACGCGGAACCGAAATATGTTTATACGTGCCTTGTTTTAACGTAGGAAAAATACTACGCAGACGTATGGCGGAACTAGATTTTGCGCAATTGTTTGTTTATTTCCCGCCGACTTATAATTTTTAAATGTTGCAGGTTGGAGGTATCACGTATCTAAATATCTAATAAATCTATCGTTGTCCTAATACGCCAACCCTGTTCATGCGTCTTTTGTCGTTGTTATAGATATCCAAATACAGTGTGGATGTAATACATTTTCTTCACAAACACAAACTCACCTACAGCTGTCACAAATCGTTTAAAAAACGATTTAAATCAAAGATCAAAGATGCATTTCAATTTCATTTTAACAAATGATTTAAATCAAAGATACTTTTGTCAATAAAGAAAGTATTTAAATAATAAATCATTTTGAGATTTAAATATTTTTTGTGATTTAAATCTTTTTAGAAAGTTTTTAAGATACTTTCAATGTATTTAATTAATTCAAAAAGATTTAAATCCAATGTTGTTAATTTAAATCACTTATAAAGATTTAAATCATGTTTCCGATGATTTAATCGTTTTGTGAAATGATTTAAATCGTTTTGTGACAAAATGTTTGTAAAGGATTTAAATTCAATAAAACTGATTGGTCTGATGATCTTGCTCGAAACTCTCAACATCATTCATCAATATACCTACCATTTCTACCGTATCTTATTGTTATTATTTATTAAATTAAAATATGTATTTTTTTGCGAAAGAAATTTTAAAAAACCAAGACATCGTCAATCTCTGTATACTAGATTTTGTAATAAATACATACCGGGTGTGGTGCCTAGCGCGACGCAGCATAGGGATTTCAATGGTAATTTCTTTATAGCCAATTACTAGCTCCCCTAATTATTTTAGAGTAAAAGTCTAAATACGGTTATAAACAAGTACCTATAAATTTAATATACGTCAAAGGCAAATAATGAAAAGTTATGTTGTTTTTTTAGGCAATTCGAAGGCATATCTGATTTATTTTGTCGATTTCTACGGTTTTGAAAAACGGAAAATTATAACTAATAGTATGAACAGATGCAGTCTTTTTTCTCTGAAAAAAACGTATTTAGAATTTTGCTCTAAAATAATTAGGGGAGATAGTTATTGACTATAAAGAAATTACCATTGAAATAAATCCCTATAATGCTGCGTCGCGCTAGGCACCACTCTCTATAAACGTCTACCGAAATAAAACCCGGGTTAATTAGCTTAGTCAGGTTGAAACAAATCAAGAGAATTTGCTAGTATGTATTTAAATCGTCTCTAAAAGATTTAAATCACTCGGAAACGATTTAAATCTTTTCGAAAGTATTTAAATTTTTTTAAAAGATTTAAATCATTTTTAAGTTCAAAATCAAAGATAGTTTTCATGAAGATTTAAATCTTAAATCAAAAATCATTTTCCGTAAAAAGATTTAAGATCAAATGATTTAAATCGAAAAAAGTATTTAAATCATAAATAAATAAATAAAAGTAACAGCTCTGCCGGTCACCTATATACTTCTAAGCCATATATAGCAGACCAAAAATCGACATAGTATTTAATTAACATTAAGTCCCAATGTAGGACCCTATTTCGAAATATACTGCTCGTTTTTTTGGACTGATAGCATCCTCTGCCAACACCTGAAAGAGTTGTACACAATGGTTGTATGTAAAACAAAAAGTAAGTAGTAGGAGGGGGTTAAAAATTAATTTTATCTCTCATTGTATTCTAATTAAAGGTCTCAACGAAAGGAACAGTTTTCTACAAACTACTGCCCTTCTTTCTGTCCTGTTATCAAAGTACGGGGGGAGGGGAAAGGGGGGGGGAGTGGTTTATCCTTCAATGTACTCTAATGAAATGTCTCAACGAAAGGAATTAATTTATACTAACCATATAGTCTTCCTCCTCGATCCCTTGTCGTGATCGGTTATAATTATTTATATCTTAAGAGTTAATTGTCAAAGGAAAGTACCTACAAAGGGCGATTGGGACGTTTGGAAGAAATATAATCATTGGGCATTTAAATAAAATTTGATACATAACCACTTGGAATAAAACCAAATGTAACGCCAGTTTCATAATTTCGTTTTGCGCAAGCGCAGTTCCAAGTTTCTTATTTATTGAGGAGGTATTCAAAAGAAATTTGATACATAGCCACTTGGAATAAAAGCAAATGTAGCGCCCTTTTCTAAATTTGATTATGTGTAGGATGTGCAGCTTTCTTATTTATGGAAGAAATTTCGTAGGGGTGTTTAAAAAAATGCTTTTTACCTGCACAAGGGTGCACAATTTGTACTTGTAATTTGTCTACATTGATATATGCGTTTTTGTCTTAGCTCATTGGTGAAATGGTGAAATCCATTATGGCACCCACTCTTCCAATGTTTACTACGATACCGTTGAGTATAACGTGGTTGAACTCCATCTTGCTGAAAGTGCAAACTTCCTTCGTCTAGCAGGAAGTGTCATCCACTTGACTCTCAAAAAATGATGTGATCGGAGGCTCTATCACTTCCTCGAATAGATTCTGATGCTATCATATACCTTTGATTATAAATTTTATATTCAAACGTAAATTTTATTATGTGATTTATTTATATAAAATTAATGATTAATGTTACTGATAAAGTTAAATTTACCAACAGAACGTGGAATAAATAACACGTCAATATTTATCACCGATTGGCATTACGATGTCAGTTTTGTTTTATTACACCACTGCCAATAATGACGCGTTTTCCCCCACTCTTATAAATTCCTTTTTTTCTATTTCCGTCTCGACCCCTTTTAATGCAAGGTTCTCTCCTTTTATTTTTACTCGTAGGAGTAACTCAATCGCGCAATGTTAATTACATGATCCTCCGTCAGATGTAGTGACTATATAAACTCAATCGTAACAATTTGCCCTTGCAACTACTTGCCCCACCTTCCCTTACACCTTATACCCGGTCTTGTCTTGTCTTGTCTGAATTCGATACAACCAAACCTATGATCTTAGGTCAAGGTCGTCGCTTCTTTGATTGAATGATTTATTTATTTATTATAGCTCTCTGGTTCTGGGCCCTCAACAGGCTTGCGCTCAATTACCTACAGAGTGATCCGCATAATGCTTTTTAGAGGTACCTCTGCAGAAAGTCTTAAGTTGTTCTATACTACTCCGGTATTTACCTTACGAATTAGGAAAACTGCAGGAAAACCTAATTTGGAGTAGGCGGCAGAATGCTCCAAACTGGTCTAAAGGTAATTCGCCACAGATGAAAAATTCATCTCAATCCAGGTTCCGGATTCACATCGATTGTCCTTCTTTGTTAGAACGTTTGAACTTTTATGTACCTCACGTGAATACTCGACAACACTACACTTTTTATTGTAAAAAAACTGGGTTAAATATTTCTCGTAATTCACCTTCAACATGTGCTCTTCTTAACTTACTTAATAGAAATATTGACATTATTTAATTATGACATGGCCCTTTTCCCACTGTCGATATGGCTTTAGATTCCCTTTAGATTCCCTTTATTAGATATGTACTAAATTATGTCCAAATCCAAAATCCAAAATGCGTCTATATATTTTATAAACTTAAATTTTGTTCTTTTTTCTTATATTATATTTATTGTGTCCTATAATTGGTGTAAACTGTTGGGCATTAATCATTAAATAAATAAAAAATAAATAAATACATTTATAGCCCAATCACACTCTACCATTGAACCACAAAGTCGGCGCCCCTTGCTGAGACCCGTTTTGCTAGCTGGCATCCGTTGCCAGTAGAAGAGATAGTGTGAGTACTTTTGGGGAGCTTAGATCGCTATTTATATTTTCATAGACCCATAGATCGGCGCTATGGCATTGGGCCGTAACGTAAGACATTAGGGCACAGACATTGGACGCGGACATTGGAGTGATGGACCGCAAGACAGTAGACCGGAAAGGGAATAGAACGCCGACATTAGGCCGTGGACAAGGACGAGTCCTCATGTCTGCGGCCTACTTCCTCTTTGCCGTCCATTGTCTTGCGACCCCAATGACGGCGTCCTATTGTCTGGCGACCTAACGCCTGGTCAACCCATAGATCCTTTGGTTTTCTGACGAAGGCGCTGTAATAGTGGCGTTACTCAACAGTATAGCTAGAGTTCTTCTGAGCTGAGGATGTTGCCTTTGGAACACCTCGTACAGTTCTGCGATGGGCGTATGAGTTTTGGACGTTGTCAACCTTGCTTGAATGAGATGCTTAGTGTCAACTTAACCACAGCCGTGAGCCGAGCTGATGTACTTAACATAACCTCGAACGGTAAAGTTATGTATTTTTTCTCGTTTACCCGCTAAAGATACTTTATTTATGAAGATGGAAATAATTCTACAAATACCCAAAGATTTGAATAAGTTGTGCCGAACTTGTATGAGCTTAGTCGACGATGAACCTCAAAATTTCCTAGTTTTCCAAAATGAAGAAACAGAACTGAGCAAAATACTTCAAACAGTAACCTCTCTTAAGGTAAGCATCTATTACACACATACAGTAATTTTTTTACATTAAATTTAGATATTCCCAGGTGATGGATTACCGACAAATTTGTGTTCTGTCTGTGTTCAACACTTAAACTCTGCCTTTACGTTTATAAACCAATGCACCGAAGTTGATAACAATCTTCAAAAGATCCTAAGGGATGCATACTCATCAGATAGCGAATGCGTGGAGATACTGGATACTACTTCTTCTATTATCAAGTTTCCATCGGCTGATTTTTGTTGTAGAGATTGCAATTCTCAATTCACTTCGTATTATGAGTTATCCATGCATATGATGATGCACAGTGAAAAGAGAAGCTTAACAGAAAGATTTATGAGTAATTTTGCTGACGATAAACATTTAGTGGACTTGAAACCTACATTAACGGACAACACTTCGTTAATTGATGAAACTAGAAATCATTTAAAAGTTTCTAATTCGAATTATATAGAAATCAATGTTGAACCCACAGATCTGCTTCCCGGAACTGTGAAAGTAGCAACTCTTCATTCCAACATTCCTAGTACTTGCACGCAGAATCAATTTCAGTGTGACATGTGTAGTGAAGGTTTTTCAAGTGAAGATCAACTTTCCTCGCACATTCTTTTAGACTGCGGTAAAACAGTTGAACAAAAACATATATGTACATTGTGCTCCAAAGAGTTTGATGATCTAGTAAGCGTATCATTACATTTTTTGAATCATTCACTTGCCATGGAGATTGTTAATGGTGAAAGTATCTCGGGTGATGTGTCTTTTTGTGATATCTGTGGTCAAATTTTTGAGAACAATGCTCTGCTACGTAATCATTATCAGGAATATCATAAAGATCGAGAGATGCAACACTGGATGTGTTCAGTGTGTGCAGAGCTGTTTGAGGGCGAAAAAGATCTCTTGACACACATCTTAGTTGTGCACTTTGATGACGAAGTGTATGTAACCGAATTCAAAGTGAAAACCCAATGCGTTTTGTGTACAGAAAGATTTTCAACTAGAGCCGAATTGCATAGTCACTCTCTTATCCATTTAATGAAGAGATATACTTGTCGCAAATGTTCTTTGCAGTTTTGCACTCAACAATCCTTGTTTGCCCATTTTGAAGTTCACGCCGGTAAAAAATACGAATGCTCTTTGTGTGGAAAATTTTTAAGCAGTCGTAGTGCTCTGAAATCGCATAAACAAGGTGTCCATCCGAATAAGTTAGATCATTGCTGTTCGATATGCGGTAAATGTTTCGCCACATTTGCCCGTTTAAATACCCACTCCAAAATTCATACTGCAGATAAAAAATATGTTTGCTCATATTGTGGTTATAAATCTCACAAATCGGGGGATTTAGTTATGCATACAAGAATTCACACTAGCGAAAGGCCTTATAAGTGCACTGTGCCCAATTGTACCATGAGCTTCAAAACTTCTAGTCACTTGTGTCACCATGTTAGAAGACATTTCCAGATTCGAAAATTCAAGTGTGACATTTGTGCGACGAAATTTTCTACAAATCATGGATTAAAAATTCATCAAATGCTGCATACAGGAGAAAAACCTCATTTGTGCATTGTGTGTAAAAAAACATTTCGAAGAAAATATCATCTGAAGGTTCATATGAAGCAACACGTAGAACATAAGGTTTGATTTGTAGTATTGTTGTGTATTGTTAATTATTCTTGTTAGAGGTACTCTGTTTTTCCTTGTGGGGTACTTTTTTTTAAAATAAAGTGGTAGCAAAACTATGGCGGAAAAGACAAGTATAAGTAATAATATTTTATTTACTGCTGTGTGTGTTATTTTGGTTGAGACTGTCCTGTGCCTCTTGTGAAACTTTTAAATATACAGTAAATAGAATCAATCTAGCTAGTTTGTTTCTTTGTATATGTTTCAACGGTTGTGATTCACTTATTCATTGTGATCAGAGACGTCTCTGATTGTGATACACAGTTTCAAGAATAAACTATATTATTATTTATTATACAGGGTGAAAACGAAAAGTTTTGATTTTTTGGGATCGTATCTTGAAGGTAGAAAAAAGTCAAAAACTGCCTATTTGAACTATTTTTACGTAGAATCTAGAGGCGTCGTCAAAAACATTTTTGCACTACCTTTTCTGAGATTTTACCCAAAGTTGGCATTTTTTAAATGCAACATTCAATGCCAATTTTTTGCATTCTTTTTCCTGGTTACATGATTTTAGCCATTAACAATGCCTATTTATAGCCATCCATTCCACGCGTTTGATTCGTTTTTTTTAACTTTAAAGTATATACATAGCCCATATGTATACATTTAAGAAAAATCTCTGTATACTAACCATTGAATTTATAACTAATGATACTAACTAAAGCATTTGTAGATACCATTCTCTATGGTTCACTACTCCCTCCTTTCTCCCTAGCTTCCGCCATTGTATTTTTATAAATACAATGCTTCCGTATAGCCCCCTAAATTGCGTAGTTTAAATGAACTTAAATAAAAGCTTAAAATAAGTTTGTGGTTCTTTAAGTTAGAATGTTATAAATCACCTTTAAATAAATAAATTAATGTATTTTTCATTTGTTTGTTTACCCTGGAAAATATCAGCTAGTCTATCCAAACCAGCAAGAAAAAAGTAATATTCAATTTACGAACTCCGATCTACAAATTCACCTGAAAAATTTCATCGTAATCCGTCCCTTCATAGAAAGCTTGGCATTGCGCACGCGCAAAACCAAATTTTGAAACGTACCTATTAGAATTGCTTTTATTCCAACTACCTATATGCATCAAATTTCATTTAAATACTTTCCTAAATAAAAAAGTTGGCAAATCGGTTCATAAATAGTCGAGATGCGAAAAGGGCACTGTGAATGTTAAATCGACAGACGGACAGACACTTTAAAATTATGAACTCACTAGGAGACTAGCTCGTTCATAACTAATAATAATGTACCTATAAATAAGATTGTTAATAATTGTAACCAATTCAAACATAAATGATAAATATATTTTTGGATAATTGAAATTAATAAACACGTAGTTACAAAATATCTGTAATTTAGTCTATAAAACGATCGGCAAGGCCATACTCCCCTTATCAAGCGTCTCCGTCGAGAGCTTTGAGAATCGTATTGGGATTATAGACTGTACGCCATCGTCCAAGAATTGTACAGGTACCCAAGACTTAAATATTCATCGGATTTCGTAGCATAGGCATAAGGCAACTGCCATTGAGTTGATGGTTTTTGCAAGAATCATCTTTCTTAAACTAAGAGGGGGCCCAATGCATTGAAAGTTCCTATACTTACTTCAAGGTGCAAAGATATTGTACCTATATCGCTTTTATTTAATGGAAGTGGGCCTACGGCCAACGTAATAAAATTTTGGGATTTTATTGATGTCAATATTAATTACTAAAAATTAGGCATTTTTAACATTTGTACCTACACAATTTGTTACAAATAAAACATTTTGACAAAAAAATCAATATTAATAAAAAATGTGAATACTGATTAAAAACTAAGCTTCCCAATACCACATGTTACAATACCGTAGATCCTTTCACAGTGATCGCCAGTATTCTTGTATTTTTTATAGCACTGTTTTGTGTTCTCCTTCGTAAATCCTGTTACTCCTCTTACAATATTCGCGTAATTAAGTTGTTTTGTCTGGGGGTTATAGAATTCCGACTCCCTCCAGATACAGTATGCAAAACATTTATATTCGTAATACTCTGGAAGGTCCATAGCTAAAACTGCTCCCATTGCGTCTTCTTTATCAACTTTAGTTTCAGCTATGCATCTTTCTCTATGACGGCCCACCATTTTATCCCATGATTTTACCAAATCTGGGTGGACATTATGTTTCTAGAAAAATAATCAGTTTAAAATCTATGTGAGAGATTTTGCGACTTACAAATGCAGAACATGTATAAAATAGCACAAAAGCTAAGATAAACGCCTTCATTGTAGAGAAATTAAGTTTTTTTTTTTCTTTAAGAAAGAGCTCAATAGACTAAGCTGGATAAGTAGCGGCTCAGTTTTTATAGGCACAGAAAATACATGTGATGCCTTTTATCTGTGATAAAGCTCTTGGCTCGTCTAATCAAGACTATCTTTGGATTTTGTTTAAAAATATGACAACAAAAATATATAATTTATTTTTGAATCTGTAAATCTTATCTACAGTTGTTACTTATATCTAATTTGTTATGGGCATCGGTATTAGGAAAAAGTACCACTTAAACTATTTTATTTTTCCACATCTTACAACTTTTTCCGTCGAGCGTCGTATTCATTTTCAGAGGTTTAACAAGTTCATTACAGAGCATTCTCTTTTCCTCCCAGAGCACGTGCGCCCCCTCCCACAGTTTTTCATATTTTTGACAAGAGCTTTAGGCTCATTCCGGAGCATTCCAACCCTTTTTTTAGAAATTTGCAAATTTTTAGAGCTTTTAGGCCCTCATAGCCCTAAGAGGGGTATAGAAATCGTCTAAGGAATCCTAAAGGAAGATTTTATAAATGCGTCTGAGAATATGGTTACTCAGAGCTTTTTAGGCGCGTTTAAAAGCTATTTCATGTTCCGACTAGGCTCTTAAACGTGGCATTCTATACGCCTTTCAGAGTGCATTTTAGAGTATTTTAAAAATAGAATTTAATAATAATCTCCTCTAGGCCTCTAGGGTTTTAATCTTTTAATTACAAATTACACGCTGATATAGGTACCTATAACACGTACCTACCTACCTACCTATCTTTAGTGATACACCTTATATACATAGTATATCATATTGTTTAATAATATACAGTGATAGTATAGTGTATGTACTTTTAATCCCCAGGGTTTACGCTATCCTCATACTATAATAAGAATGAAACCGGCAACGTTTAAAAAAGTCGCTTTCAAAAACAGAAAATGCTAAATACAGAACACAAATAAATTATAAAGTCACCAACAAAGAACATAGATAAACTACAAGCTCTTTCGACAAAAGCTCAAACTAAGATGGGTGTAGCGTAAAAGAACCGTTCGTGTTCTTTTGAAAAAGTCAAGCGGACACCAACTCTCAAAAATGTATCGCTGATTAGATTACATGTCTGTCATTGATTATTACGCACTAACATAATATAATCAATGCGTCTGTGATGGCCACTTATATTGATTTCAAATTCAAGTGGATTTCGGTTTGTTTTTTTGACCTTTTGGAGAGAATAGGTATTCTTGCGAGAAAATTAGAAGCTGGGCCTTCTAACTTCATTGAGCTGTATACTAACCATATATATAAGAGATACTAACGGGGAACGGTCGCAAGGCTTACAAACGTACACACGCGGTTGAGGAAGAGGAGCGACAAAGGACATACTATATATGGTGGTTCTATTCTATGTTGATGTATGTTAAACAACGATGGTAATATACAGTGATATTCATGTAGAAGTAGACATAGGGATTTCCTATGTCTACGTTTACATGATAGTCTCCTGAAAGACCCCTAATTTTATGCAACTAAAATAACTTCTTGAAACAAATAAAGATCTGGCTGTCATATTAATTATTAATTTGAATATTGTTGTTTTAGTTTCACAGAAAATAATTCTCTTAAGCTCCTTTAATTGTTATCATTACTATACCAATTGGAAATATCAATATTCAAATTAATTAATATGACAGGCAGATACTCTTTTGTTGTAGGTAGTTACTTTGGTTGTATAAAGTTAGGCGTCCTTTAGAAGACTTTTTGTCATGTAAAAGTAGACATAGGAAATTCCTATAGGAAATCCCTATGTTTACTTCTACATGAACATCACTGTATACGTACATAAGTAGGTACCACTGGAAGGGGTGCGAGAAAAGAACAGACTATGGTGGTATGTACGAGTATATGCTAAATTTGCTAAACAAAGATAGTAATAAAACTGATGCTTTCCATCAATAGTTAGTATAATCATTGAATCAAATTTATTCAATGGTATAATAGAGTTCCTCAATGTCAATGAATAAAGAATACCAGGAAGGAGAATATCAACAATTTACGCGAGACCGCGATGGCTTTTGTAAATGAGTCATCAGTGGCTTTTGCAAATGGCCGACTTCCGTCCCACTCTCTCTTGTATTCAACTTGATTAATGCTCCTTCCTGGTACCTATTCTTTATTCATTGCTCAATGTGTAACATGTTAAAATGACAGACAACGCACCATCAAATATACCTACTTATATGTCGGAAGTCGACTGGGTGGTACGAATAGGAGTTTTGTGCGTAAGAAATGATCAAGCGAATATGAAATGTATACGCACGAAAAGCTAGAAAAAAACAATCATTGGACAAAAAACCTGGCATACCATACACAAATACAAGAAATAAATCAACTATGATAAAAGCAATACATACATTTTTATTTTTTTTTCCCAAGACAATTTGAATTGTATACGTCAGAAATACAAATAAATAATCAAACATCCCAAGTTGCACAACAATAAAAATCAGCTCATCGAGTCCAATGCAGTTAAACAAATTAATAAAAACGAAACACACCAGTGAAGAGACACCACAAATACAAATGGGCAACAAGATATAAACTAATTTAGTGCAACAACATACCAAACACAAATGATAAATGTATAGGTATATAAAAACCATTAAAATGATAGGTCTCTTTACACCAGCATCAGCTATAAATTAATTTAACACGAAAAAGTACAGGTGAAAATGCAAAATGTAAATAATAACAATTAAATTGAGGCTTTTAAAACAAAACAAATGAATAGAATTTAAAAAGCAAAGCAGATTAGTAATCACGATTAAATTGGCTTTCAAATAATGTGCCATTTGCCATAGGATTCCATTTAAAATTTTAGGGGTTAAGCTCCCTACGTAGAGGGGTGAAGCTTGGGTTCGTGATTTGTATTCCAAAAGTTGTCCCCCTCGAATACAAAATTGACGTGTTCGAGGATTTTTCGAAATTTCTAAATTAATACCCTAAAAGCCCTCTGTGTACCTCTCGTTGGGCCACTCTGTATACATGCGCCAAATAATGAAACAAAAATAAGTTCATCAACACTCAACTTAACTAATTAGATACAATTAACATACCTAACGGACTCTTAAACTCCTGAAAACAATACAAATATTACTGGACAAATAGTTTTTAAGGACACTTTAAATTTTTTGGTACCCAGAGATTTCTGACACGCTTAGGGGGGCAGTGCAAGTACACTGCAGGCCTTTGTTAAAGCTCACTTTGCACCACTGGCAACCTGCAGACTGTTGTGCCTGGTATTTCAGCCGCCAGATTGCATTGATTTAATTCATGGTTATGAAAATGTCCAGTAATTCATTTCAAAAATGCTCACAAATTTGTCTCCGATGATAATCCGAAAGCGCAGTAGCGTCGTTGTTGGAAGCGCAAATAAATGATTTTTGTTAGTGAACAGTTGGCCTACAAGTATTAGTTTCTTACATGTAGCAAATCAAATCTTGTCTACACTATAAATTTCTAGTAGGAAAACAGAATTACTTAATCTCTTTGAGAAAATCACCAAACTAATCAATATACTAAAATTATTTATTTTCAGACCGAGTTTATACTTAACATAACATAAATTAAGTTGGTTTATTAGTAACAGACATTATGGCGATTTAAATGAGGTACCAGAATTATGAAAACTAGAACTGTTGTAAAATTCTTTGCTAATAATGCTTGAAGAGGTGGTGGCTTCGGGTCGAACGATGGGAAAATGCTGTACTCGGCCACTAGACCAGCCAATGCTTAAACAAGCACCGTGCTCAAAATTGCCTTGGAATGAGATACAAACTGGCTTTTCATCCGGAACTCCCGCAACAAGACAGCTAAAAACATATGTCACTACAATAAAGTAAAATTAATCACATACCATGGGTTTAAATGTATAGTGGGATCGATGGTTACTTTAAAGATGGCAACATAATTCGTATCTTGAAAAAGAACGGCAACAATATTATTGCGTGGATCCCATTCCATATTTTGGACAGTTCCTCCAATAATAACTCCATCAATTTCTCCTCGGGATAAATCGTACAGTGGAGTAGCGAGGGTTGCAGAATTTTCGGAGGTTGCAAAAATCATTTCAAGATGAGTAAAAGACAATGCGTATATGATTGGCTCTGTGTTTGACACAAAAAGTACAATGCCTTCACATGGAGACCAACAGCATGCCTGTATTCTGCCTGTTAATACATTCCATCTTTCTGATGTCCATGTTTCACAGTTCCAAATCCTGTGCAAATGCACTTGAATTAAAAAATAGAAGTCGAATCATCTCACAAAAGCTTTTTTATTAATAACTCCATAATTTTGCTTTAACACAAGTCCTCTGTATTTTGGATTTTCAAAAATTAATTAAATTAATTTCAGGTTTATTATTTTCATATTGAAAATCTCCCAAGCCTAAATTTCGTCATAATTTTCAAAAGGCAATATGGGCACAAGCATTTTGATGGTTAATATCTCAAAGGAATATTATCGTACACAGGAAAGTTGATGTTGTGCACTTGAGATTCAACATATGTGCTACGTTTGCTTTTATTAGAACAAGCTATTGTTAAAATTTCAAAAAAATATCTCCATAAGTAATATAGATGACAATGTTGACAGTGCGCGGTCTGCGCATGCGCACATTTGATTTACACCATTAGCGCTATTTACTAGGAGCACCTTTTAAATTAAAAAAACCTATATAAGAACGTTCACATTTGCGCATGCGCATGTTGGTATTTACTAGGAGCATCTATGGTTCAAATTTAAGCTAGGAGGCAGCCAAACTTCAGACTCGTGTTCAGTACTAACAATGAAAAATACGATTCCGTTGAGAAACCTGGTATTATGGAAGGGGAAGTAATCAGACCACAAGTGTATTCTACTACTTCCCACCCACTGTGCCACTCCAAAAATTTTATATTGCAACCTACCGCTCGTGACATTACTGGGAAGAATTACCTTACAATTGATCAGTGATAACCTCTTAAGCAAAGGAGGCAGTGAAGAATTACCTAAAAACTCGTTCAACAGTAGCAGTAAGGAGTTTGTTGCCTCGGGGCGACCACTTCACTAAACAATTGCCATGACTACCAGGCATAGATAAGGTACTGGTTTCATTTCGTTCCACATGCCATATTAGAATAGATGGGTCTCTAGCTGCTGCACTTGCCAAAATGTCACCAGTTGGGCTCCATGCTATACTGACAACAGGAACGTGATTAATTCGTCGTAATATGCTAGCATTATTAATTGACGGACGTGTAATCTACAACACAACTACAATTTTTCTCATATGAATGTATATATTTACCATAGAGGTTTGGTCAATATTCCAAACAAAAATTCCATTCTCACATCCTACTGCTAATTCAGAATTGGAAAATGGCCGCCATGCGAGACATGTTATGTTTTTCTGCTGTTTACATTTTAAGATCGGAATAAAATTGGAGTTATGAGAGTATATTCTAATTGCATCGTCGCATGTTGCTACAGCAATTTTGATATCGTAGCTGTCCCAAGCGATACAGCGTATAGAACTTGTCATCCAGAACCTGGTGTGTGAAATACATGACATTAAAGTTAAATCGTTCTCTATGGTAGTGGAAGTGAGTTTATTCCTCAATATTTTTACTCCATTCAATACCAGAAAGACCACCGAAACAATATTCTTTAAATACGAGGGTCCAAATTCTTCAGCTGTATTTAACATTTCGATCATGCCATGTTCGTAGTATGCGTGGATAAGTCGTTTCAGAAATGGTTCATCTACTGTTACGAATACAGATTTTCCCTCATCGCTTCTACGATGTAATAAATTAGGCGTAATGTGAATATTAGGATGAGTTTCTAACTAAAAAAATGAATTGCAGAAGGAATACATAACCTCCGAGCGATCACAAACTAACCGAATTTGTGAATGCAGCAATATTTGCAAATTCGTAGTGCATTGAGTGTACTTTTCCATCGACTTCACATAAAGTTACTTCACCATATGTAGGAACCTCGAAAATTGATAAATTGTTCATTGTAAAGAGAAATGTTTATCAAAGATTTTTAAATTTCAACAGTTTCTTGTCTCCAGTAACCAGTTGCGCTAAATCGAATTTATTCTTTAAAATTCCCTAGAAAAGTTACTAATGTCATACAGAGTGAACCGTAAGAAGCTAGAAATGAAACATTGGGTTATTCTAGCATGAAATTGCACTAATTTGAAAGTGAATTGAAATTATCCTGCTGATTTTGAGATATGAAAATATAATCCCGTATCCTATCTTAAGACTCCAGGCTGTCTTGAATTAGCTTCAACGGGCAATTAAGTTATTTTTCTACGTACATTTTCTAAGTACAAATAAAGATCATAATTTATCATTCAATTTCTAGCACACTCGTATAAATTTACAACTCACAGACATTCCCTTACGTTGATTATGCTTTAAAACAGCCTTACAATTACACTGACCACAAATTAAACCAGCTTTTCTCAAAGTGCCAGGGCTCCGCGAAAGTTCCAGGGGGCTCCGCTGCCACACTTTCCCACACACGTCTCTTTCAACGGTTTCAGCAAGTGATTGCTTGTTTTATGAGCGAATTTTAATTATTATTATTGCTTTCAAAAGTTGTACAAAAAATACTTGAAATGGGCCGATGGGTACAAACTGTAGCATGTAAAAAACAGCGTATTTCCGAGGAGCAGAAGAACCAACGCCTAGGGCTTCAACTTCTAATGCATTTTCTGCATTTATTTATAAATTATTGTTACCTACAACCTCTGTTTTACTTAGAGGATCTCTTCCCGCATATCTTACGTACGGTTCGATTGCGGGCCAGAAAAAAAGCAACAGATACAGCCAAGAATAAAACTGTACTAGGTACTTCCTCCGCGAAACACTTAAATCGAATCGTACAGAGTAGAGCCAATAAAAAACCTCCCACGTGAATCCATAAATAAATACTTATTAAATAATATAATGACATATTCACCTGTACAGTACTTACGAGTATAACAATAGTTATTTGTGCAACTAGTTTTGAAAGTGATATTTTTGTTGCTCGATAAACTCGGGCTTCGCCCTTATTACTCAAACTGCAAATTCATGAAAAACAGACACTTTCAACACGTGTTGTACACGAAATTTTTTGCATGGCGATTCTTAATAATCCATAATTGAATTCGCGATTTACTGTCACTCAAAAATTCAGCTCTTGTTCTTATACAGGACAAAACGCCATGGAAACGCATATTGAAAATCGTGAAAAAAAGTGCTACTTTCCATACGATTTTTTGAGAAAAAAAGTCCGGTAATTTGGTAACTATGCAAAAAACAAACATGATTCAGATAACGGTACATAAACAAAAGCTTCGTCTCGCTTCAATATCGGTATTTTATACAAAATGTAAACAATAACAAATTAACGGTCGATATCGAAAACGTAGCATGATTGGCGTATACAGACCGTATCGTATTTTTGTTTCAGATGTAAAGATGTGTTGCCTAATCGTAGGGGTAGGTTACCATAATTATAACGGTTCTTAAATAGATGGATTTATAACAATTCGACTTACTTGCAATCACGTTCATAAACCATAACATTTAATTTAAGTAAAACACATTTATACTATGAGCAGCGGGGACTGAAACTAAACACAACTCAATTTGATTATAAAGCAAGCAATAAACCTTCAGAAACACACAGAAAGATTGAGTCACATCTGCTTTTATTACTTGTCGCCCGTGACTAATTCTAGAAAGGTCGCTACAGTATTTAGTGCCAAAGTTGCGCATTCAAGAATTATAAAAAAAACAGGATGTCCTATTGAAAAGTTAGTAGGAGCAATGTTCGGTCTAAATCGGAAATAGGTAATACACAATTGATTTTGACTTTGTTCTTTATCAAATTAAAAAAAAAATGATTTGCAGATAGCTGACTTTTTGCTTACCCTCAATACGGACCTGAACAGGTTCGGCCTAGATTAATGGAAATCACCTATTATAGGTAATTATTTTTGTTTGGTTGGTTGCACGGTACGGTTGCCATGCTTTCTCGGATTGCATCTAGTTGACCTTTTAATAATATTTGACATGTCATTCAAACTGAAACTTAGAAAAGTAAGTATAAACCAGAATAGCTTAAGCATGGATGAAAATGTACAAGGAAGTGAAAGTGTACCTCCGCCAACCAGTGTTGTAGGATTGAAACAACGTTTATTGAAACTTTTAGTATGGGTCGGATACTTTGCTATTGCTGTAACAATAGCCGTCGTCTTTACAGGATCGGTGCGTTTTTCTCATCGGTTCTTTGGACAGAATCAGTCGCCTATAGTTTCGCCTGAGGTAAAACCTTGGTTGATTTTAATCGGTTAAGTAATCATTTTTTTTTTAGCCTAAATAGATAAGAATATGAAAATACACATTCGTACTACTAAGAAAAATTCACAATACTCAAATGTAGTGATTTCCCATTGTTCCTAGTAAACATTAGGTATTATTTGAAGTAGAACCACTCAAATCGTTACTTTGGAAAATTGTGAAGATTTTAATTGATCAACTTTTAGTATGATTTTTACAGCTGTGTTTGCTTGTTTGTTGCAGATTTCTTCTATAATTAAAAATAGAAAGTCTTTTTAGGTCAACGCAGTATTCACTTGTACTGAGCTGAGGATTCGGGCTGAGGGGCGTCTGAATTTGAATAATAGATAACCATATTTCTTGGAACTAAGTACTTACAATGGGTTCGTGAAACGGTTATAAAGAGAAATTGATAGTGTTTACATTGTATCTTATATATGGAAAACTGGTATACTTTGTTTCACTGGTGCTGAACCTGACGTCATAAATGTGATTCTCTCTTCATTACATTTAAATCGATTGAGACAAAAAAATTACGTCATTAACGTAAGTCGTGACAAATAAACCAATTGATCTGTCATAATATCAATCCGTCAAACGATTTTCGTTATAGACAGATTTCCAGTGTTGATTAGGTAGTTTGTGTTAAAAGTGAAGTAAATATCATCAAAGTTAAAAACGCTTAGGCAAGTCGACAGTGCAGCAACGCCGTTAATAGACAAGTATTTTAAAAATTTTACCGCATAATGGTTCGATTCGCTCATATCATGAATTTAGGTCATTCCCGTTACCATTAGGTAAATATGACGAACCGATACACAGAATGAAGATGTTCGCCAGAACACTTAGGTATTGAATTGATTTTATAGGTGAGAATGTTACACTCCGTTCCTTACACAGTAATCTTCAACGACTTGATGGCGTCGAAATATCTGGTACCTCTTTGTCCCGCAGTTTGAAGAAACTGAAATTCACGTGGCGGAGATGCACCGTCTCCAATAGATTATTTTTAATGGAACAGCCCTATGCAGTTCAAAGAAGACTACAATTTTTGAGAGACTTTAAACACAACGAAACTTCACTCTTTCCATTACGACCTGTGGTTTTAGACGAAACCTGGATATACAGTAAAGGGTCTTTTAGAAGAAGCTGGCAAGATGGTACTCTCAAAACAGTTAGAAAAAGAAGTAGTGAAGGGGTCCGGTATATACCTAATACTCCATGCAGGATCAGAAGATGGATTTGTGGTGTAGTGTCGCTTTTTGTCTTTTGTACATACGATTTGAATATGAACATTTGAGAGTTTTTTCTTCACTACCTGTTTTCTTTCACAATTGCGTTTTTTTTTAAATAAATCGGATCAGAAGATATTCAAGATCCTTATGCGAATATCTCGACTGTGTGGCAAAAGAACAGAAACTGTATGTATGCGTTGTTATTTCAATGAGCCAGTGGTATAATGACTACGCTTTATCTCAAATTTGTAAGATGTATAAATGCAAAAGGCTTACCGATAAACCATGGCCTATTCTACTTCTGCAAATGGCTAGTTAAGGGTCATTAAAATTCGCGCAACTTAACGCGTATTCTTCACATTGGTAGTATACTTAATTTCACATCAACATTATGTAAACAAAATATTAATTTACGAACTGCCTAAACAAACTTTAAGTTACAAATGTTCCTATGCGTTTTCTGTAACCATCATACACTTCATCTCAAAGAGTTTCGGATGCTCTGGCAGTATCCATTTGGATGTGCAAAGAATCGGTTACATGAGGTGATTACAAACGGTTGAAAAGGTTTAATTCATACCAACGGACTTCCTCTACATAAAATACATGACCATTTACCCATTATAAAACCTAAGAACAGGAAAAAACCTATCAGGACCAGATGCCTTATAAGTGATTGTCAACTTGGGCGGTCTAATCATGATGAACGATAGTGACACCTTAATAAATAAGTTGAAACGTCAATGTGACAATATGTAAACCAACTACTAATTTACGACCTGCCTTAATTTTGCTATGACGTCAGATAGTGTGACGAAAGGTTCAGCACCCTTGAAACAAAGTATATATAGTCGGATTTTCCTCAGTTTGCGCGCACGTCATCTGTGTTTTATGACGTCATCACTAAGTATGTTTACATAGCATCATGCAATCGATGGAAGAAAATACGTATAATTGTAGTCCCGGATCTGTAGTGTCCCTGCGTCTTTGATTTGTGAATGTAACACAGAGACATGGAGAGAGGAGATCGCTGATCGACGAGTGCGCATCCAAGAAAGGGTGCGACCTCATGGGCGCTGCCATTTTTACACCCGTTGTGTCATGTTGTGTTTATGGTGGTGTTATTT